CCTTAAAATCAAATTTATTTGCACAAAAATATTTGTTAAATAAACATGTTTTCCTGTTCATACGATGATACAATTCCAAATGTAGTTATTCAAATCACGGCCCCTGCTAATTGATCACAAGTGACTTTTCTTTCTTGATCATTTGTTTGGACTGTGGGCTTGGGATTATTTATTTTGTTTCGGTGGAAACACAGGACGGTGGTTTAGTCAGTCAGAGTCCTGGTTTTATTTTGCTACATGTGTAGTAGGCAAAATAGCCTTTATGTGTAGTCCAGATAAGAGCTCGTTGAGCTGCTTTTGCATGTTCAAAGCAAAAATGAGATTCGACCATCTAAATCAGATTTGAAGTTTCTAATTTTTTTTTAAATTATAGTTAGAAGATTATTCTAAATTTTTACATCTATTAATGATAAACATAAAAAATATAAAAATAAAATGAAATTAACTTGGACAGTCGTGAATGATATTGTTCATTGTGAATACGAATTCTATTTTGCTTTGTGCTTTTTACCTTATTGTTGGTTAGGCGGTTGGAGGAAAAATGCTGAGTTACCGTCATGTTATTAGGTGGTTACTATTAAAGGAGACAATCCAGATGCAGTAGTACCAGGTCTGATGGCTGCTGGGGAAGCAGCCTGTGCGTCAGTCCATGGCGCCAATAGGCTTGGTGCAAATTCTCTTCTCGACATCGTTGTTTTCGGTAGAGCTTGTGCAAATAGGGTTGCAGAAATTCAAAGGCCAGGCAAGATTTTTTCCCGAGTTACTGTTTTGGATTTTTGCGTTGAAATGGTTGCGATAAAATTGCGTCTACGTTCCATTTTACAGGAGCAAAACAGAAGCCGCTGGAGAAGGATGCTGGTCAAAAGACAATTGCATGGCTGGACAAGCTGAGAAATTCAAATGGTTCATTACCAACTTCAAATATTAGATTAAATATGCAACGAGTAATGCAAAATAATGCTGCTGTGTTTCGTACACAGGAAACATTAGAAGAAGGTAAACATTTTTATATCAAATATGATCAAGCACTTTGCCTTCCTTTCTTTTTCTCAATTATCCTTTTCAATCTCTCCAGTTCTATATGGTCCATACCGTGCTTTAGCCCTAATAAAAGTCACCCTAAAAGTATTCCCAGAGAGTGAGGATAACACCATTAATGCTGTTAAGGATGATCTGTGGCCTGCTTTCTTGGCAGTTGGCACTTTTCTCTCCCCTCCAACTCGTCATTTTCTTCTCTCAATCCCCTCTTTTCCTGAACACGCACACTCTCTGTGATTGACTCCCTCCATTGATCTTCCCGTCTGATGCTGCTGGTGAAGTCCAGAAATTGATGTTCTCTTCTTTAGTAGAGGATTGTTGTTTTCTATTTCCGGTTCTGAATTTGATTCATGTTCCAGCGAAGACCGAAATTGAAAAGTTTCTCTTCATTTTCACAGTTCGCAAAACAGACGATCAATGGTTTCTGTTTCTGTTTCTGTTTCTATTATTTCTAGACTTTCAACTTCTGTCATCTTGATAGAGATCGTTTAATCCGTCGGTTATTTATTTTAGATTATCTGGAGCATGGAATATATATATATATATATATATATATATATAATGAAACAAACCATTGTAATGATTAGTGCAACAATTGGGAAAATAATCCATCTTCCTAGGAAGAAAGTTCACAAGTTTGTGGGCCTTTGATTTTGAATGATTTAAATCCGTTTCTTGACTAAGATTGAGAAGAGGGAAATCTTCTGCGCGGCAATTTTAACTTCCGATTTCCCCTTCAAAGCTCTACTTAAGCTTATTCAATCAAGGGGCCAAAGCAAGGGTAAATTGAGATTCAACCAAGGGAAGAGTTTTGGGTCTTACGAGCACCAATTTGTTGGCTTGGGGAAGAGCAGAACAGAATTTTTTTTTTTTTGGGGGGGGGGGTGGTGGTTGTGGAGAGAGAGAAGAAATGCTAACTAGGATGCTGGTTGAAAAAACACGCCGTGTAAGTTAAAATATTGCATTTACCAAGCCACGCCCATTAGGATGTCAATCTCTAGGGTTAAGCTAGATTTTTTTTTTTTTTTAATAATCAAAACTTGTTCATTTATCTGCAGGAAAATGTACTTGGAAGTATTAAATATAGTTTTTTAATCAATATAGACTTTTGACGGTTCAGTATTTACCTCCTCCCTCTAAACTCCGTTGCTGATTGGCAGGTTGTCAATTAGTTGATAAAGCATGGGAGAGCTTTCATGATGTAAAGTTGAAGGACCGTAGTCTGATATGGTAAAGCTTATTTTGCAAGTGTTACAAGAATTGGTAGTATTACTATTCAAGACATTCTGCTTGACAGTTTATTTACAGGAACACTGACTTGACTGAAACTCTTGAGTTGGAAAACCTTTTGATAAATGCCTGCATCACCATGCACTCGGCTGAAGCCAGGAAAGAGAGTAGAGGAGCACATGCCCGTGAGGACTTTACGGTCAGTGATTTAGTTTCTATCAATTGTCTGGATTTTCTTCAACGTCAATAATAATGGTAGTTGAATTCTTTGTTTGATTCTGCAGAAAAGAGATGATGAGAATTGGTTGAAGCACACATTAGGGTAAGTCATTTTCAAATTTTATGATAAGGTTATTTATTTGCTTAAACAATAAAGGTACTTAAAGAGAATTTAGTCTCTCTTTTACTTGTGGGAACCTTGATCCTAGCTCTTTTCCAATACATTTAAGCTTATTCTTGTTAAAGAACAATTGAGCCTTTGAGTAGCCAGTCTGTTGACGAATCAGAGACTGAAGTGGAATAATACTGATTGAAAATTTGATCTACAGTGAAAATATTTTGAGCACCCATATTTTGATTGAAAATTTGAGTATCTGCAAATTTGGCGGGGGTTGTTGGGTCGGTTAGCGTGAAAGAATTTTTCGTTGGTTTGCAGAATTTGTTGTAGTGACTCTTTTTAAGAAAGATATAGGTTTGTGCCAATGCATTGTTTTGTAATTAAGATTTGAGCATTTGATTTGCAGATACTGGGAGAATGAGAAGGTCCGCTTGGACTACAGGCCGGTGCACATGAATACATTGGATGATGAGGTTGAATCATTCCCTCCTAAAGCTCGTGTGTATTAATTAGTGTGCTCATTAAATTATTGTGTATGGCTTATGCGGATTTTTAGAGCGGAACGAGTGACTAGTGGAAACAAGAAAACACGCGAAAAACAAGAAGTGTTGTAGATGCCTGATTCCGCGAATAAACTGAAGCGTTCATCATGAACGCTGAACTGATTATATCAAGGCACTCTTAATTACATTGTATTTGCAGTGCAAAATAATCGCAACACAACGGAAAGAATTATTTTTGGCGGTAGATAGAAAATTGTTGGTTATGTAAATTAGTGTTCTGCCAGTCTCGTGTGTTGAGTTGCATGTTTTTCCCACCTGTCGCAGAAAATCAATTTCAATATGATCGTTTTATCACAATACTGATACTGACTACACGGGCCCTGGAAGCTCGGTGGTATTACGGAAACGTTCATCTCTTTTTATTCTTCTAGAAAACCTCTTTCATTATATTTTAGAAGCATGAAATAAGGGATTTTTTGTGTGGTTAAACGAACGGGGCCAAAACCCAAACAGGTGGGGAAAAAATCTAGGGTGAAGACAAACCGTGGGCAGCTATCATGCGTCCACGAACACAATCTCCATAGGGCAGATATGTGAGCTGCAGGGGACAGCACTCTAGTTAGCCAGCCAATTGGTGCTCATGTTACCCTCTCTGAAAGTACGCCTCTCGCTGAATGGGTCTCAAGTAATCACGAAAGCCTCAGACCAGACACAATGCCCCGGCCTCGTCGATCACACCCGCCATTCCCGGTTGTCCTCTAGAACTCCAGTGTGTCGAGTTTAAAACATCGCAAAAAACAAAAAGAACAACAAAAAAAAAAAACCCAACTGAGAAAGTGGCTACCACGTATCACGTGGTAAACACCAACAAATACTTACCAGGAGCTGGCAGTAGTTTCATCTGCATGAATAACGGGATTTTTTTTTTGTTCCACTATTTTCATTTCTCTTCTGTATATTGCTAATTGGGACTGCTTGATCCGACGCCATGACCGTCAAAAGTGCTGGGTAAACGGCTCCAATGACTCTTTCTTTTTATCCCTGAATTGTTCAAAACATATTCCGTCCATCATTATTTTTTTTCTTCTCGAAGTTTTCTCTCTCTTTTCTTTTATTCTCATTTCCTAATGGGCAAAACCGTTTTTTTTTTTTTTGATGAAAAAGGTCAAGTCAGCATGAAACCAGGAAAAAAAGTAGAAGAGCTATTCACAGAGCATTTTATCAAGGTACCACAACATTCAAGCAAATATATAAACAGACGCACCAACCAATATTAGATCATACTCATTCATCCCATCATGCACGTCGCACGCGAGCCTTCTGCTTTTGATATTCCGCATGAGTCCTGTAAACCACCATCTGGAAGGAGGAAGCGCCTATGTGCTACTTCGTAGAACTTCAAACGCTAAACCCCAGCTTAATGCTCTTCCAGCCAAAAAGCAACTAAAATAAAACCAATTTCAACTTTTTTTTTTTTGGGTTTTTAATAGAATATGATTCGGGTAGAGTTACAAGTGTAGTAGTTATATCGTTTTCTCCTGACAGATCATCAATGAGCACCTTTACGGCTTTACCCAGTGAATAGTGGTTGGTTCCTTTTAATATGTTATCCGCATCCCTCACCCATCTAATTTGATACTGGTAATATTTTATATGTGCGCAATGAAGCTGATTCAAGCTTCAACGTGCCGTTTCTTCGGCTAAAAGCAACGCAGGAAGACGCAAAAGGCTTTTGTCGATAGAAAGACGCGTGTCCTCTAAAACACGCCACGTGTGAAGACATAGAACGCAATAGATTTTGCCGAGGGTCAGAATTCTGAGCGACACTTCAATCGGTGGCTGTCCCTATCCTGTTGTGTCCAAACTCTAGGGGCTGTTTCAATCGGTGCGTATAAAGTGCCCCACTTGGCTTCATCGTTCTTAAGACCCGACAAAGATGTTTCACGCCATCAAGACTGTTCGAGCTTCTCCTTCCTCCTCCTTCCCCCGTTCCAGCCTTGCTCGGCAAACTTCTCTCTTAAGATTCCGGCAAACGCAATCAGTCTCTGTATCCGGGCAACCCGATAGTGGTTGTAAGATGGACAAGCCTCCGCACAACCCAAATGAAAAACATGGGTGTGTTCCTTTTTCTCTTCCTAATTTCATTTTTGGTATGTGTAGTGTTTGGGCGCATGTTATGATTACTGACGATCTTTTATTCTGCCTGCGATGACTTAATAAATGTGCTCATATAGTGATGGCATGTTTTAACTAATTTCTACTTTTTGAAGGGATGTGATGTCTCATTCCTTTGGGGAAGGATATGCTACAAGATCGGATGAGGAAGGTTTTGGTGGGATTTATGGTGGAAACGAGTCGGATTCAAAGATTGAGACAGATAAGTTTATCCACGAAAATCATCCAGGTTTGTCTTTTCGTATACTAATCAAACATCAACAAGAAGTTTACGACTTTTCTAATCATGGCTGCCTTCTCTCTTTTCTGAAATGATCTTGTATTTGGCACTGATGATTTTCTTGAATTTGATTTTATATTGGGATCATGAAGCCTATGACAAGACGCAAGGAAGTGAGGTGAAGGAGAAGGAAAAAGCCAGGCACCAGACCAACGCTAGCAGCTAGATTATTCATGTGCCCTTTTTCATGTATATCTGTGACTGAGCCCTATATTGGTGCTCTTGACTGTTCTCTCTACGATGTGTTTTTTACTCTTTTTTTTTTTTTTGGGGTCTGTTGTAAACATCTTTCATGTTAGCTATCATCAAGCCTCTTCCATGGGGTCCTGTAGACCCCTTTTACCTGATAACGTATTCTTTTATATTGTTTCTAATCGTCTATAGGGACGAAATAAGATTTTTCAGTGAATTATAATGCCCGCATCAGAACTTTATATTTAAACAAAACCCGAACAATCTATATTTTAAAAGCGAACATTGCATAAAGCTCGGCTGATTCTTAAGCTTTTTGATTATGTAGGAGAATGACGGAAGCAGAAAATGTGTTTTTCAAGTTTTACCCTGTTTTGAATGATGGTTTATAGTTGACTTTTACTCCTTTAAAAAAGCAATACAACATAAAATACACGAGCACAAAAATGCAGGAATTTTGTTTACAGAAAGGGATGCCTGTTATCGCATTCAGATTCAGTTATAAGGTGGCGGTTGCATCAATAAATATAATTTCCTTCTTTTTGTGGCTTGCAAAATATAATTTCTTTCATGATATCTTTTAAGGTATTGTCTCATATAAAATGGGTCCTGGATAAATGGAAAACTACTTTTCTCCGCATGGATAACCGATCATAGCATTTATGGATCGTTACACATATAGAACTTGGTATTATAGACTTTGATGATCTTCAAATGTACTAATTGATTGATATGGATCATGAACGTTTAATCAAGATAGTTTGAAACTACAGTCAAGACGATATTTACTGAACAAAAGCTAAAATTTTAAAGGAGAATTAGGGAGGAGGACTAATAAGGAGTGATATTTAAGAGAAAGGATCATAAAAATTAAAGTTGTTTAAAAGAACTAAATATTCAAATATAAATTTAAAAATACTACATTGTTCCTATTTAGCCTCCTATATTTTTTCCTATATTTCATTTTTAAAACCAATGTGAATTAATAAATTTTACTCAATTAAACATGGTTTCTCTCAAAATTTACAACTTACATAAAAATCAACTAAAAGAACTCAAACATCGTTCAATCATGTAAAAATTAAGGTTTAATTTTTCTTTGTCAAAAGTTAAAATTTTCTTTATAAAACATCGCAGACTTTCATTGAAAATAAAAGTTATATAATTTTATTAAAATTTAGATTATTATATAATTTATTAAATAAATAATTTTAAAAATTTAAAGAAAATGATTGCATTAAACTTCTTAACACTACATGTATTTTTAATTTTAAAATCTGATATAAATTTCTTATAAAATAAAAATAATAAGTAATAAAAATTGTCTTTGAATTTTTTAAAGCCATATATATAATAAATTATATAATAATCTAAATTTTGATAAAATTGTATAATTTTTATTTTTGATTTTAAAAAGAAAATTTTAATTTTATAAGGAAAATGAAAATTTAATTTTTACATAAATAAACAGTGTTTGCATATTTTTTTAAATTGGTTTTAAGGTAGGTTGAAAACTTTGAAAAAATCAGGTTTAATTTAGTGAAATTTGTTGATTTGTATTAGTTTAAAAACAAATTGTAGAAAGGAACAGAGGAAAAAATATTAGGTTTGGATAGAGATAATATGATATTTTTACATTTATGTTTGAAATTTAGTCCTTATAAATAATTTTAATTTTTATGGTCACCTCTTATAAATATCACTGGTTATTGTTTTTTTTTAATTCTCTCAAATTTTAAAAAGATTAATTAGTTCTTAAATCCTCCGTTTCTCTTTTTTTATTTTTTTTGTGGTCTGTACATGTTCAGTAGGACTAGAAACAGATGATGTTGGAGGCTGATAGCAAACACCGCGTCAGCGACAGAAGAGGAACAAGTTGTGACACGTGGTCCTATCTTAACCAACAAGTAAAGTGATCTTAGCCGTCCATTGCGTTTCAGCCCCCTATAAAAGAAACATTAGGGTTCACTTGTCTCCCCGTCCTGCGGTATTTGCTTTTTCCGTCTCGTCTCCCGTGATTCCCAGATCTTGTTCGTGTTCCTGGCGGTCATCCATTCTACTCGCCGGATCCGTATAGATCAGATGGAGATCTACCAGCCGATGCCAGTTTCCAGGCGTTGCAAGCAATATTTGCTTTTGTCGGCGCTTCCTGGAGGTTTGATTTTACAAGTGATATTTCTTTTTATTCTTACCTTTACCCCTGGCTTGAGGTTTCTTGTCTCAGATCTACTTTCCAGGCGGGTGTTGTTCGCGTACGGGTTTGTTTGTAGGCTACCGTTGAATCCTTTCTCTGTAAGGCTCTAGAGGTATTGTATTGTGAGCGAAGAATCGATGATCTCGACGTAGATCTTGCAGCGGACGATTAACGGTTTTCTTGCCCTACAGTGGTTTAATCGGTGCACGCATCAGACATGGTTGCGCTCGAAGATTTGTGTTGTTCCTTTCTCTGTGTATTTTACCAGATGTTCGATGATGTAATATGAATTATCCGTCTGAAGCTGAGAGGAATCTGTTTGTGCGGTGGATTTTGAGATTTTGGGAGGAGCGGGCTATAGTGGTATGTCATATAGCTGAATGATCTTTGTCATGTGACCTTTGCCATGACAGGTGCGCTTGCATGGCAGGTCAAAAGAGTATCTTAATAAAATTAGTCTTTTTTGGTTCAAGGGGAGACCGCACGGGAATTTGCCCGGGGTCTCCTCTTTTTGGTGTGGTGTGTGCTCCTTTACGTTCGTTCCTTATTTGCTATCTCATTCGCCTGCATACCACAACTGACGCGAAGGATACGTCGGCCGATTTAACAAGGTATATAGTTATAATCCCTCTTACAATTTATTGGATATTTATTTCTGACTCTTGAGGAGGTTTAGAATTTTGTGTCTTTTAAACAACGATCATTTCTCTTTATTGCAACATATTTCGTCTTGAATCAAGCAATTTTCCGTATCCTGAGTACTGCTACCGGATCCTCTTAGTTTTTAAGTATTCATTGAACGCCCTCTTTTCGAAGGTAAATTAATGTTAGTTTACATCATCTTTTAAACAATGTCCAATTGTACGCATATTGAACATGAAATTCCTCAGTGTTTGCTTTGTGATCATTCATTTAGTTGCTCCGTTGCTTCAGTTTCGTCTTGGAGCGCAAGATTAACATTAATTGTCGTTGCCAAGGTCCCTGAATCTTATGTTGCTTTTGCATATCCAATTTGACGCCTGTTGATTACCATTGTTATTGGTCTGACTCAACCAGATTATGCTTCGTATGTACTCAACAAGATTATAGTTTGTATTATCCCGGCAATCGAGCTTTGTAATGCAGATTCACTAATAGACTGGATTGAAAGTGCGGGAAGTCTCGAGCATTCATATTCTTTTGGTTATGAGCTTCCATGTATGCTCAGCGAGGGTAATTTTTGTACATAATAAGCAAGCTTAATATGTCTCCTCATTCTATTCAGTTCTTACATTTATGGAGAGATCACGCGTGATTTCGTTTTTCCTTATATCGGTTTGCTGGTATTGTTCTCATTCCTGTTAAGTTCCTGGTCTTGCGTACACAGATTTTGTAATTTATTGTACACAAGCTTTGTAATTCAATTTATGTTGGGGACATGATTGATGTTATCCCATGCACAACTGTGTTTCTTACATTATGTAGATTGTGGTTTGTGGTAGCATGCTTAGGATTTCCTGCGCTGGCGAAGAAGGGTTTCCCGAGGATGTTCGATCTTTAGTGGTAATTGCTGGCTGCAATTAACTCAGTCTGGATGTCAACCTCTAATTCATGCTATTTATGGTTGAAAGACATCATGGCGCTTAGTAGGTTAGGTGCCTTGCTTTTGGAATTTTTTTTTCAAACTAAACTCTCTCTTTTTGAATATCTAATGCATGGAATTTGGACCTGCGGATGGGTGAGTTCTAATTTCATTTGAATTTTATTCCGTACATAATTTATATAATTTTTGCTTATAATTTACTCTCTTTTTTTTTTTTTTGGAGGGGGGATGTTATAAGGGTTGGGACATATCTTCTCAAGGGATTCCCAGCCTACCTAGTATCATTGTCCGATTAATTGGCAATTTTGCATGTTTAATTTGGAGTTGTGTCTTGCACTTGCGAAGACAACTGCAAAGCTTTGTTTTGCGAGGAAATCCGGCCGTTGCCTTTTCTAATCATTTGACGTAATTGTCTCCTTAATTTTGGTTATAAACTAGATTCTGAATTAATATGCGTTTGCGCATATTTAATTTGGAAGTTTAGAACAGCGAGTGTAATTTTAATATGCTGTTTCTTTTTAAGTTGGGTTTTTAATTCGATCAGATTTCCCAATTTCAGTGACTTTGTCTTTGAGCAAGGGAAGGAAAATCTTCGTCTGAAAAATTAATTGGAAAAACGATCCTTAAAGCTATGTGAAGGATATGCTTATGGAATGTTCAGTGCCGTAATACATTGTATGCAAGGGATTTAGCTGTGCATAAAAGTTTAAACCATGCTTTATACCTATTGAAATGGAAACTTAGTGACAATTTGAATAGAATAGAATGGGCACTTGCATGCGTATCCTTAATTAGTCTTGCGTGTAAAAGCATTTTCCTTTGGTGATGAATGTAAAATTGTTTTTGTTGAACAGGAATTATTAAGTTCTCTTATTTGCGTTCTGTGTTTTATTCTATTTGAAAATATTTTTGAGCAAACTTTTTATTTAAAATTTTAAATTTAAATATGGTACGTGGAAATGGATTTGATATGTTGTATGTGAAAAAGCTGCTGTTTTCGTTCTTCACAATTTCTATGGGCCATTTTTCAGTAAATTTTTAAAGTGGGGATTTCTCCCAAATTTTTTATGTTATATTTTCAAAGTTTTAATAATATTTACGTAGGGCATAAGAGAAAAAACTATTAAGATTGATCCCCAATTTCTATCTTTCTTTTGTTTTTTTTTTCAATTTTTAAACAATAGTATTGAAGTATAAAATGGTAGTGGGGTATAGGCGTCCCTGTCTGGCTACAGAAACCGCTGATAGATCCGTAAGCTGAAAATGGAAGAGCGCTTAAAGCGTCTGTTAACTCGAGCAGAGCTTTGAGAGGATGGTGGTTCAAATCCACCCGGATCTTTCTGTTGCTTGTTGGTTCTAGCTGTAATTTTAAATAATTTTTTATAATTGATTGATGAACTAGGTAGTTTGCGGGTAGGGTTGGGTCGAGGAATGTTATTTGATGTTGAGCTCTTTCTGTTGGCCCAATGATTCGTGGGTTACTGGGTTGGCCCAAATGTTCTAGGTTGCATGTAGGTGGTTGTGCTTTAATCCTGTTTATGACTTTAAGCTATTAGTATCTGTCTTTTTAATTAAAAATTAACTAATTTAATGAATATATGTGAAACTCGAGCTGAGGCTTTATTGTGTGAGGACGTTTATCTTGCAAGTGCGAAATAAGTTAATTTGTGGAGTCAACCCAAAAGCCGAGACCTTATTTTACAAATCGCAATGCATTCATTAGTACCCTCCACAGAAAAATTGATGTTCTACCGGGAATGGTCGTCATCCAAATGATTTGTGAAATATTTTCTTAGTGGGATTAGTGACCATGAAATTTTCGTAATTCCATTAGCTGCGCTGAGGATGTGATGGTTTGATTAATTCAATATCCATGATCATTTTGTTTGAGGTATTGTCAAAAATTAAATATAATTGTTTTTAGGGGTGCGGTGGATATGCAACTAGAAAAACTTTTATGTCGAATGGGTGAGATAATTTTTCTTATATATTTATTTTATATCGTATGGAATTATGTAAAATAAGCTGAATTAGATAAAATTATTATGAACTCAAATGTAGTATCAAATATTTTTAAAATTTTTAAAAAATTGAGTGAATTCTTTTTATGCCTCCGGTTTTGATGTCAATCAAATGCTCCTTAGAAAATTTAAAAGACTACGGTGATAGAATGTAGCATATTTTACATTGTGAAAACTTGTACATTTTATTTTTTAATTTAATGCTAATAGTAAAAATTGGATTTTTATCCTTTTTACCTGGAGTCAAGTTAAATAGTTGATATTATCGGGACCAATAATTGGAGGAAGGCGTCATGACTACAGGGCTGTTTGGGTAAAAACAAAATCATAGTTTCAGAAGTACTTTTATAGTATACAAGATAAATATATGAAGGAGTTTGTCTCGATTTGCGAAAAAATGCTTCTGAAAAGCACTTCTAGGGTTAGCCAAACACCCCCTATTTCAATTTCACTAGATCTGGATGGAACCAAACCCTAATTTTAAAAATAATAATATTAAAATATTTTTTAAAAGTGTTTTCTACAAAATCAAACGCCAATCCCTGAGAATAAGGGCTCGTTTGGATTGCTGTTGCAAATGGTAAAAGCACACAGGAAAGCGAAAAACTGAGGTTTTTGGTTTATTGTAGCTCAAAAGATTGTTTGGATGGGGTTTATTTTCTAAATGACTTATAGAAAAAGGTAACTTTTCTAACTTATCCAACGCAGTCTGAATCAACTTTTCTAACTGACTTATAGGAAAATTGTGCAAAGCTTACGATCTAATTAGTTATGTGATTCCACTTACTTTAATTAGAGACCAAATAAATTTTAATTTATATTCATGTTTGTCCAATATATATATTTAATTAATTATCTACAATGTGTTTTCAAATTTTTCTCCATAACAAATATTTTTATTCTATAATTTCACAGATAAACTATTTATATTTTATCATAATAATTTTACGTGTTTTTTTAAACTATTATCATATTAAAAATATAAAATTTCAAACACTACTCCATACTCTTTTTAGTCATTTTACAACTAAACTAACTTTTCTATTAATTATCCAAATAACTTTTACTTTTTTTAACTGACTTTTTAAAAGCACCTATCCAAACATAAATTGCATTACACTAACTGATTTTTATTCTAACTTTAGTTACAAAAATCAGTTTTACCCAACACCAATCCAAACATGTCCTAAATCGATCTCTCTATAACGGATTTCCTGAAATCTCGCTCTCATAAAAGGATATCCTATTTTTATGTACGAAACAACAAAATACACCCTCCATTTTTGTTAAAAAAACAACTAATTAAATCATATTTATGGAAGAATTGGTTAAAAATAATTTAAAATATTCATAATAAATATAATGATATTAATGTAAATAATTAAATGACAGTCAAAAGAGAAATTAAAAAAAAATAGGAACAACTTTTAAATATTTTCATATGAACAGGAAGAAGCCATATTAAAAAATTATTTCCTACAGCAATGGAGGGAGGGAGTACATTCAATCCTATCCTTCAGCTGCATGATCTCATAAAAATTTTCACTATCCTCTTCGTTGTTCAAGCTAAAACGCTTGTACCAGGGAAAAAGCAATTGCAATTGAGTTTGTCATCACAGAAATCCATCCTTGATTTCAGTTTTCGTTTGCAGTAGCACATAGAAATAACAGGAAAATCAATTACCATCCCTGTATCGGCCACCTCCTCTCTGATTCTGGAAGCCAAGAGGATCGTTTCTTTTGCTTCTTCTCTGCCGCCGACACCGCTACCGGCAACCTGTCGTGGTCGGAGGGGATTTTTCTGAAGGTGAAGACCTTGCTTAGAAAACCCAAACCCACCTTGATGTCCTTCTTGCGCCCATCACGGAGATCGCACTCGCCGGGTAATCTCATGGATTTAGTTAGCCTCTCATAGCCACTGCTTCTCGCACATTCCGGAGTCACAGATTGCGATAGGAGGGCCGACCTGTGTGAATAAAACCACCTAAAACTTCCACGGGCTTCCATCACCTCTTGTATTTCTGCTTCTTCTATTTCCTGGTTAGCTACACAAATGGCTTTATGGTGTTTGGTGAGGTAATGCACAATTACGCTGTTAATATTTATGAGGTTTCTTGGCCGAACAAGAAACAGAATACTCAACAGCGGTTGCTGTTACCCTCGCTTAGCTTCATCATGCGGGTGGGCGATGAGAGCGACTTAAGTATAAGCCAATTCATAAATGTTCATCACCTAAAGGATATAATATTTGATTTTCTATCTCTATGTTCCTTGTTTGATTCGAAGACTTTTTTTATTTTTGACCTTATCCTGGGTTAGCTTTCACAGCATTTGGAATTGAAGATAGGTTATTAGGGTCAAAGTCGCCTGGTTTTGGCTCTGATTAGAGTGTCTTGGTTGAGCTCAACATGGCTTCGTCTGGTACATGATCTTCTTAATTTTACTCGAACCAAATTTTTTTGTTTTATTCGGTTGCTAAGTGCGGGGATCTAATTTGTTTTGTTGACATTGTAGTTCTTTTTCTTTTTTAATTTCGACTTACCAAAGTGATTACACACACACACACACACACTTTTGTTTTTTGCCCGAAATATATATACACTCTCGGGTGATTATCTATATTTGCAAAGAGTTCAAATGAGTCATTATTAGTTTTTTTTTCCCCCATTTTTGAGTAGCCTGCTTCTTCTTTTTTTTCCTTCCAAATTTCACATTGATATTTTCATTTTATATGTTATAATAAAAAATAAAACAAATCCTCAACACTCAGTGGGCCCTCAAAGGCGAGATAGTTGCATTCATTCAGAGGAATTAAGCAGTAGCAACTGGGAAGGCAAGAAAGCAGTTGATAATTTAAGAATGGCCAGTCCTTTTCCACTAGTTAGATCTGTTTCAGAGTAAATAATGTTCATATTTTTATTTGACACCGACGAAGTATAAAATACTTTCAAAGGGTAAAATTTTCTGATCTCTCCGTTCCTTTACTGAGTTACCAAAGCTATCAGCGAAGTGCATAATCATGAAGCATGCTACTAGACATAATAATCAGATATCAGGGCCAATCATAGTGTTCATTACAGAAATATTACATACGACAGCTGGAATATGGTAAAAGAGCATGATTTTTTTAATTTACAACATACAGTATAAGATCATAAGGTTATACCCAAGGTCGGCTCGAAGGAGGACAAAAACAACTAGCATCCAGAGACAAGTGACTATTTGCATTCATCAGCCTCAAACACCCTGTAAGTTATTGTGCAGGTTATGGAACTCTTCATAGTTCATTTGAGTAGAGACACTCGTCAACAAGCTGGCGGAGGTTGGGATTCTCCAAGGCGGCAGCAACCCTTTCCTTGTCATTTAACTGCTTATTGACTGCGCCACAAACCAATATGCAGAGTTATTAAATTGTTACGCGTTCGCCAGAAGAAGGAATTCTATGAGAAACTTATATAGGGAGCTCATGATCATCATCAACAGTCGGAAACCTAACAAAGTGAGCTCGTTTTTTTCATCAGAAAATCATGGGCCCGTAATGGAAATGCCTCTTCCCATGTTCCAATTTGTTCATATGGGAGTCAGTAACACAAATGGTGAAGAGTGAATAAAGACTGCATAACTTCAGTCATTCATAGAAAAAGGCAAATGTTGTTCAAAGAAAAGTTCAGCAGCACCTGATTCTTCATCGGCATGAGATCCTGGAGATACTTTGATGTCCACCTACAAGAAGTAATCTGATTAGAGAATGACAAAGATAGCCTGATATAAGAAATGCAGTAACGATTATGACAAATAGAACAGGTCTGAATGAGATTTTTTTGGCCCGGGGGGTGGGGGTGGTGGGGGCGGAGAAGGTGGGAAAAAAAGGTGCTGTACAACAATGATAAATGGAAAATTTGCAGCGTGTTTGGGGTGGCGTCAACGCCATCCCAATCATGCTACTAGAACTGATCATATAGAAAAACAATAGGTCATATCAGAGACGGCGATACCAACCTTGGGAGCGAAAGAAAATATACTGCGTTGCACTTAATCAGTATAATTCCACCCCAGTCGGAAGGAAGTATTTAATTCCCTTTAATGTGGGTTGGACCAAAATTTCATATGCATGAGAAATTGAGTCCAGGTGAAGAAACAGCGCTTTCCATTCCCTTTAAGGTGGTACCGACGGAATGCCGATACCTTCTAATAGGTTATATATGACCTCAAGAGTATGAAAATGGGTCACTAGCAGGGCACCATTTGAAATTGTGGGGAATCTCCATTCCGGCCCCTCAAAATAGAAGTGTTTAAACAACTATGGAACAGTTCATAAAAAATGAAACAGAGGACGCATAATTGCTTGTTCACCTTGCTAGTTGCATGAAATGAAAGCATAACTTTCTCAATAATACTACCTCCGGTCCTAATTATAAAACCTGATTTGTAAGTAGTAGTAGTAGGCAAATCAATTAATGAATGTAGAGGTCATCGACAGAGAAGCCAGGAACCAACCTTGTAATGAGGAGGGAAAAAGTGTTTTAGCTTAACTCTCAGACAAAGACCAATTACTGTTGCCATGCTGCAGTGCTGGATAGTTGGTGTGAAAGTTATCCTAGTCAGAAATACAGAAATTAAGCGCAAACCAAAAGAAACTCAAACAAAGAGAGTTCAGTAGCATCCATTAAGTGGGCAAGCAATTGCATTTGCTCAGAAAAGACTCCTATTTGAATTAGACTAGATTGAGAGAAATAATATTTGACAAGAAAAAACGGGTGTTCTACTCACAGAATCCGGCCCAATTTGTCATCAACTGTGATTGATTCCTCAGAAAGGACGCTGAGTTGTTCTAAGGAATAAGGGTGTTCCGGATCCCTGATATCTCTCACGAAATTTGCAGATTCTAAGTCAAGGATCGCAGTTAACACATCAGATATAACAAAAGCAGGGCGAAAATTAGTACCGTGCTCGCTTTTGTTACCAAGAAACCATGGGGGAAAATTACATATCAATTGCAATTTTTCCAAATTCAGTTTCAATTTTCAGAAGCTCGATCAAAGAATTTCCCATGTACCAGATATATAGCAATAGTAAATCTAAACTAAGAAAACGGAAAACCAAGAGGGGAGAGGGAAGAAGAATAGGAAGAAAAAAGTCAAAAAACACGCAGGATATCATAAATTTCAAGGGGGTCCACGGCATCATCGGCGTGGAGATCTTCGGTGCGAGCTACTCTCTCCTTTTTCGCATGAACTACGGGGTTCGCATTGATCAGACCAAGAGTCATCTCTTCAATCTTACTTTCTCTCGCACAGTCTCGTTCTGTATTCAGCTCACCGAGCTTTCTCGTTCTGGACCCGCAGTCTCGTTCACATGCACAACACTTAAAAAAAGAAATAAAAAATTGTTCCGGAGTAAAAGTAAATAGAAGTGAAAATTGGGCTATTTATGATTAGAGTTGTCAACAACTCCTAAATTGGATCGTTTTCATGGGCTTCTTCGGAAAATCGAACAGGTGTCCAAATTAGTTATTTATCAAGTGCCCCAACGCAGCTTTGATAGTTAGAAGCCTTTACAGTCCCATCGTTCCTGATCTAGTTTTGCTCTACACAGTTTAAGCCCTGGCCTTGTTATCTTTTTCAAAAGCCGAGTGTTCAACATTTACTTGGCTAATTAGAATCTCCCCTTCAACTGCATCATCATCTTATTGGCGGTATTTGCCTATTTAAAAGACTGTGATATTTATAATTAAGAGCTAAAAATTCTGCATCTAATAAATTAAAATAATAAATTGATTTTTATATTCATTCTCATGGGCCATTGATGAAAAATTTTAGTTCATTAATTTATATCTAAATTAAATTTTTCAAGAAGAGCCTGTAGCGTGTGTTTTATATAAAGGAATATAACATATTCAATTTATCCTTTGCCCCCTCTTATTTGAGTAGATTTTATGGGATAATTTCCCATTTACCAATTGATTGCATCCATGGAATTTGGATGAGTAGCCTTTACCATCACTTGAAAACAGTCGTTTAAGAAAAACAGATGTCATTTTAATGCATACATGAGTTAGTTGCACCATCTTAGTTTATAAATACTGAGGTCAATAGAGTTTTTACATTACACGTTAATAATGAATGATTTTAAAAAAAAAAAAGAATTTTGAGTTGGCGACATCTAAAAATGTTAGCCATGAACTTATCGTAATCAATCTTTTTTACATTGTACCCATTTGGATTAGCAATTATTTTTAATTTAATTTTTGTAAAAACTAGATTGAGTGATATAGTTTATATTTGGATTAACTTTTGTACATAAGTAAGTTTGTAAAAGTAATTGTTTGGATTATTATTAAAAGATCAAATTTAGATGTACAATAATTAAAAATGTTATGAATTTTATTAAATAATACTACCTCCATTCTTTGATATAAAAACTAATTGGAGACTTAATTTAATTACAAATATAATATTCTAGTATATTTTATTTCTAATATTTATCTATTTTGTTCTTAAGTAATCCATATGTCATAGTAATCACACGTGTTGATGAATTTCATTAAAAGGTGGCTTTCAATACACATGATTTAGGAGAATATATTATATATAATTAATTTAATTAATTTCTTTAATATTTATAAATTAGTTATTTAGCTCTTATATTAATAATTAGTGTGTGTATATATATATACTGATATGAAAATTTTGATGCTTTTATTTTGTACTATAAAAAATATAAGTCTAAGTTTAAATACAAGTAAGATGGTATAATGTGATTCAAGATAAATTTTTTTAAACATGTGATCCAATTTTTTTTTTGTAATCTTCTCTTTCCACTTTTTAAAAGTCATAAGTTTCAAATTTTTACTTATAACTTATCGTGACTTTTCATCTAAAAAATTAAATTACTCCAACGTTATTACAAACATTTCTAATTTTATTCACACTGCGCCATCACACGTTTTGGTTTAATGAGTTATTTTTTTTCCCGTTGAAATGCTAAAGCAAACAAACCCAATTGTCTTCACGAAACCTACAAGTCACTTCTCAGTGCTCACTAGTACAATTGGCAACTGCACTTTCACGTATTTCACCACAATCTTTATCTATGTTCTTCAGTATACTGTGATAAAATAAAAGTATCGGCACGGCAAAAACAAGTGAGTAGGAAAATAAGTTAAAAAAACTTCATAAGAATTAAATGTACGATAAGTAATAAGTAATACTCCCTCCAATCTTCATTATAAAACGCATATGGTTAGTTTTTTTTTAATATAATCATTATTTAAAATGTTAATTATGTGAGAGGATGTAACATAAATATAAAAAGTATAAGTGTGGGTAAAATACAAATTTATTCTATTTTGAGAACGTGACCGCTTCTCTTAATTCTGATAATGTGATGGTTAGAGACTTAGAGGTATTTTATGATAGAAATAAAGAAAATCTAAGAGAGTGTATAAGTACCCTTATTTAATTATGTTGAGTTGATTAGGAAAAAAACATAAATACTCAGAGACTAAATACAGAAAAGTATTTACCCGTTTGCTGGCAATCGCCGCGTCAAAATGTGCCTCTTTACCATTTCCAGCTTTGCTGTTGCTGCTTTTGCTCACCCTTCTCCGCCCTCCCGGCCCTTCGCAGTCAATAATAACGCGGGGGTCAAAAACGACCGATTGATGTAGTAAACGGCGTCGCATTTAATCACTGTCGTTTCTCCCAAGCTTTCACTGCGTGCTCCTCGATCAGAAGGAGGAAGCTACGACGGAATGGTTCACAGTGCCTACGATTCTTTCCAACTCCTCGACAATTGTCCTTCAAAGATCGAAGCTGTCGAATCTTACGGCTCTAAGCTCCTCCTGGGCTGTTCTGATGGCTCCCTCCGCATATACGCTCCAGAATCATCCGATTCCGATAGGTCTCCGTCGGCCGAGCAACACGCTCAGGAGCTGCGGAAGGAAGCCTACGTGCTCGAAAGAAACTTGACTGGCTTCGCGAAGAAACCTATCTTATCAATGGAGGTCTTGGAATCCAGGGAGCTGCTGCTTTCACTTTCCGAATCTATTGCTTTTCACCGTCTTCCTAATTTTGAAACCTTAGCAGTCATCACCAAGGCCAAGGGCGCCAATGTCTTCTCCTGGGATGACCGAAGAGGTTTCTTATGCTTTGCGAGGCAAAAGAGGGTCTGTATTTTCAGACACGATGGTAATTCCTTTTGTTCGACAATGTTCCTTTATCTCTTTTCCTTCCTATACGATGACCAAGATGGGAGATATTTGATCATGCACTCTCTGTTTCTCTGATAACTGAGGAATTGATATGCAATTACAAGATAGCTGAAACATCGCAGCCCTCTTTTTGGCAATGCGGAAAACTTCTTGGGGTACAAATGAGGCTTGTATATTTCTTCCTTGATGAATGTTTTGTTGGTGTTCTTCAGGTGGCAGAGGGTTTGTGGAGGTGAAAGAATTGGGTGTTCCAGATGTGGTGAAGTCGATGTGTTGGTGCGGTGAAAATATATGCCTGGGGATTAGAAGGGAATATGTAATACTGAATGCTACAACTGGCGCGTTGTCTGAGGTATTTACTTCTGGGAGACTAGCGCCGCCTCTAGTGGTCTCTCTCCCTTCGGGGGAACTTCTACTTGGAAAGGTATCGTCTTCTTCAGTAACTGTTGTAGTCTTGACATTTTTAACTGGTCACGCTTCTGGCAGAATCCTGAATTTGTATAGGACGTCCGCTTCATGAATGTGCAATGCCAATATGAATGGATGATCCCCCTTTGGTTTTCATGCTATTTTGGTAAAGTCATAGAAGCCCTCATATACTGCCATGCATACTTTGCAATGTGTTGTATTCCCATGGTTTGTTTGTGTTTATGATCAATCCATTCAGACTCTCGTGCCGGGTTCCTTTCCTAATAACTTTGTAGGTTTGTTTAATTTTGTTCCTGTGAACAACTTTTAACATTAACCACAAAATTTTGAGCCAATAATGTTAATTGAACATTAACTTAAAATTATAAAATTAACTTCAATATATTTAATGTCATCAATTATTAATAATTATATTAATATTAATATTAATATGGGGATGAAAAGATAACATTTTCGGCAGACTGTCAAAAGAAACTGCATGCAATAGCCAGATTGCAAGCATGATTTTGTGTCTATGCTGAGTTCAACATTTCAATTATTGTTACTGCATATAGTTTATATTCTTGAGTCAGAGGAGCTGATTTCTATTGATGCATTTTTAGGAGAACATTGGGGTCTTTGTGGACCAAAATGGGAAACTTCTTCCGGAGGGCAGGATTTGTTGGTCCGAGGCTCCTGCAGAAGTTGTAATTCGGAAACCATATGGAATAGCCCTGCTGCCAAGATTTGTAGAGGTGACTAAGCATTTAATGTTTGACTGTATGCATTTTGCTTAGAAAGAAAATCATTCCTGGATATTCTTTTACTGTGGAAGATGTATTGATGCACTTTAAAGCACTGCAGGTTCGATCCCTTCGAGACCCGTTTCCACTTATACAGACTGTTGTTCTTCGAAATGTTCGACATCTTCGGCAAAGCAACAATTCTGTGATTCTTGCATTAGACAATTCTGTTCATGGACTCTTCCCTGTTCCTATTGGAGCTCAGGTGTGGTAAATTATATTATATGATATAGATTCCCGTGGTTCCTATTTTTGAATTCTAGTGCAGATGAGAAAGAATTTAATCATTTTTACCCGTTTTATTATAGTTATCATTCTTTTGTGGTAGCTGATTGATGTAATTGTGGCACAGACAGCCCCCTTGAGCCATTGCATTTAACTCTTACCAAATGATCTCCTTACTTGTGTTCTATACCGAGACTTAAGTATATTACTTGTCTGTTGCAGATTGTCCAATTAACAGCATCTGGCGACTTTGAAGAAGCTCTGTCATTGTGCAAACTCCTTCCACCCGAAGAGTCAAATCTTCGTGCTGCAAAGGAGGGTTCAATCCATATAAGGTGATTTGCTACTACTAGGTACTCCCTGTTAAAGAAATAAACTAGGCAAGGCACTGTGTTTGTAGAAGACCTAGCTCTTTGCATTAAGGACCTCTTTTTTGAAGTACAAATTTTTATTTAACAGGGAGTCTTGCTTATTAACTGCTGAATCTTGTCTCTTGAATTTGTAAGATTTAGTTATTGTAGAATCAGTATAAGGCATTTTATTTTAGAATTGAACTAACGTGGATTTGGCTTGCTATCATATTGATAAGGACAAGCTTATATCATAGGAGAATGCCTGATATTTGATATATTTATTGGTCTTGTGCAAGGATATTCCTTTTACTTGCTCATATTCTAGTTACTGCAAATATTCTGTTAGAAATAAACTTTTATGACCATGTTACAGATATGCTCACTATCTTTTTGAAAATGGGAGCTATGAGGAGGCAATGGAACATTTTCTTGCATCTCAAGTAGATATAACTTATGTTCTTTCTCTGTATCCATCCATTATCCTTCCTAAGACAACCATTGTTACTGAGCCAGAGAAGTTGGGGGACATTTCCTTGGATGCTGCATATCTCCCTAGAGGCTCTTCAGGTCTGTCAGATGATATGGAAACCCTACCGCCACCACCTTTGTCAGAATCCGATGCAGCACTTGAATCTAAAAAGATGAGTCATAATATGCTTATGGCTCTCATAAAGTTTTTGCAGAAAAAGAGATATAGTGTTATTGAGAAGGCCACTGCTGAGGGGACAGAGGAGGTTGTTTTAGATGCAGCTGGGGACAACCTAATATCCTATAACAGTAGTAGGTTTAAGAAAACAAACAAGGTAAAGGAATCTGTCCCTTTTTTGGGTCCTGTTGGGATAAAAATATACATAGTAAACTTGTCAGATTTTCTGTAAGGGATTTGTTCTGGATTTATGGTGAAGCTTTGGGACCTCTAGTATGCTGAATCATCTGTTGTGGTCTAACAATATTTTATTGGCATAGTTGGTATTGAAATCATATGACTTGGTAAATTGTTGGTGTCAGGGGCGCGGTAGTGTTCCTGTCAGTTCAGGAGCTAGGGAGATGGCTTCTTTATTGGATACTGCACTTCTCCAAGCATTGCTTCTTACTGGACAATCTTCCTCTGCTCTAGAACTACTGAGAGTTCCAAACTACTGTGATCTGAATATATGTGAGGAGATACTTCGTAAAGGCAGCAATAATGTTGCTTTATTAGAACTTTACAAATGCAATTCAATGCACCGAGAAGCTCTTGAGCTTCTTCATCAGTTGGTGGAGGAGTCAAAGTCAAACCCATCCGAAGTCACACATAAGTTAAAGCCTGAGGCAATTATTGAGTATCTCAAGGTAAAATTTCAATTTGGAAGATAAATTTATTTCATATTCTTCTTCCTTTGGCTTTTTGAAGATTGTGATGTGATGGCTGAATCCCTCTTCTTCACAAGATTAACTCACGTTAAAAAATTGCTTAGCAGGCTGTAGCATCTGATATATGACATTTTATAACCGTTAATCATATAGTGGTTGCATCGATAATTCAGATATCTTCCTCCAATAGCATCCCGATCTGCTGGAGAACATTTTTTCTGTAGTTACTTAGGAGATTAATTAGAAAGACTTGTTACTTAATGTACGTTATGGTAACAATCTGTCGTCAATTCCAAATCCTTCTGAAATGTAAATTTTAATTTGGGTACATATTTGTCATGAAAATGAAGTACTCAGTTATTTGATGGATTTCTGATGCAGCCCTGTGTAATTCAGACCCCATGCTTGTTCTGGAGTACTCAATGCTTGTTCTTGAAAGCTGTCCAACACAAACTATTGAGCTCTTTCTCTCTGGAAATATTCCTGCAGATATGGTGAACTCCTATTTGAAGCAACATTCTCCAAGTATGCAGACTACTTACTTGGAACTCATGCTTGCAATGAATGAGAGTGCTGTCTCTAAAAATTTGCAAAATGAAATGGTTAGGACTCTGTTGCATCTTATTCTATCGCTCTAGTGTTGCACGTTTTCTTTTGATTGAGGAGGGGCAGGTTATGTAGAAACTGCACATAAATTCCCGTAACAACTTGTTGGTGATACAAGATCAATTGCTTCATGGTCAGCATGTATACTATCATTTGTTGCCTAAAAGAAGTACTTAATCAGAGTATTCTGCAATCTAGGTACAAATCTATCTTTCTGAAGTACTTGAGTGGCATGCTGATTTAAGTGCTCAACAAAAATGGGATGAGAAAGCTTTCTCCCCGACAAGGAAGAAATTATTGTCTGCTTTGGAGGGTATATCAGGATACAATCCGGAAGCTCTACTGAAACGTCTTCCACCAGATGCTTTATATGAGGAGCGTGCTATACTGTTGGGTAAAATGAACCAACATGAATTGGCACTGTCCTTATATGTTCATAAGGTATATCAAATATATATAGTCATTTGTGCACGGATAGTTCGGTGTGGTAGTTATTTTCTGATAATCATAATGCATTTTGGTTCTTTCATTTGTGCGCAAGTAGCCAAGTACTGGTTAATATTTCATTTGTTTACTTTTGAATATTATGGAAATAACTATCCCTTCATTTGTAGCTTCATGTTCCAGAATCAGCATTGTCTTATTGTGATCGGGTTTATGAATCTACAAATCATCCATCAGGAAAATCTACCAGCAACATATACCTATCTCTTCTGCAAATCTATTTAAATCCACAAAGGACAACTAACAGCTTTGAAAAGAGAATCATGAATCTATTATCTACCCAGAATACAAGCATTCCAAAGGTTAGCCATATGACTTCAAAATCTAAAGCAGGCCGAGGAAGCAAAAAGATTGCGGCAATAGAAGGTGCAGAGGACACAAAAGTTAATTTGAGCAGCACTGATAGTAGCCGGAGTGATGGTGATCTGGATGAAATTAGTGAGGAGGGTGGTAGTACGATCATGCTTGATGAAGTCCTTGATTTGTTAAGTCGCCGATGGGATAGAATAAATGGAGCTCAGGCCCTCAAACTTTTACCAAGAGAAACTAAACTACAGGTATTATTCTTATACTAATGAGTAGTTAAATTTCAAACGGTCCCTTTTCTTTTTCAGGGATGTGGGGAGAGGCAGTCATAGACTCGATATTTCATGCAACTTGGTTTTGGTGCGTAACCACAAGAACACTAAAGGGAAGCCACAAGAACTATCATGTCCGCCTAGTTCTTGTTGCTGTTCCACAGCTGGACCACCTATCACTTGTTTTCATTTCTTGGGTTATTTCTTTTTCTGTCCATTAAGAAATGCCTTCTTGTCAACATGATTGAGTTGCTTCAGTTTTATAAAGCAATGTAACTTTATCTGTTGCCTGCAGAACTTGCGTCCATTTCTTGGACCTCTTGTGCGAAAATCTAGCGAAATGTACCGTAATTACTCAGTGGTCAAGAGCTTGAGACAAAGCGAGAACCTTCAGGTATGCATCCATGAGGGATACAGAGTTCCATTTATGTAATAATTTTAGGTGAAGTTGGTAATGTTGAGGGGTATTGTTGAAACTTGTAACATATCCAGTACACGCAGGTGCAGAGACATGTTAGTGGCTCCATTTTTTTTATATTATCTCTTTCTGATTTTCTTTTATGTTTCTGAGAGTGCACCAGTGCCGTATGATCTTGCATATTCAGATGCTGCTGTTTTCGTAGCTAGTTGTCTATATTTTCATCATTGTTCAATTTGCGCTGCGCAGGTGAAAGATGAACTCTATAATCAGAGGAAAGCAGCGGTGAAGATAACAGGAGACAGCATGTGTTCGCTTTGCCATAAGAAGATAGGGACTAGCGTATTTGCAGTCTACCCCAATGGAAAAACTCTCGTGCACTTCGTCTGTTTCCGAGATTCTCAGAGCATGAAAGCTGTGGCTAAAGGGTCGTCATTGAGGAAGCGGATATAGATACGGGTACTGAAGGGTCTAGTCATATCAAGTGGTGATCGAGTTGCCTTTTTGAACTTCTCTTTACGCGTAGTACCTGCTGGTTGGAGAATTACAATGATCATGCAATGCCGTACTTTTTTTTTTTTGGGGGGGAGATCAGCATGTACTCGTTTCTTTGCACTTTGAATTGTGAGGTTTTTTGAACCACAAAAAAAAAAAAAAGGATTGTGAGGCTTGGTATGTTGCAGGCGTGATGTGTTTCTCTCGTTCATTTTCTAGTGTGTAAATATTGGCTCAGGCTGTTGTATGCACAAAACTCGTGTATTTTGAAGCATTAAAGGAGAGCAGATTTTGTCCCTTTTATGCTAGGCTCCAGCTAATATACATCCGAAGGTCCCCAAAAAAAAAAAAAAAAGCTAATACATATCCGGTCCTTTTCCAGTCAAAATATGCGGGAGAGTTCGCAATTTGACTTGCCACCCAATCAAGGTGACCTCATCTGTGCTCGTTATAGTATTCCCGCACTCTGGTCTCGCGGGTTTGCACGAGAGACAACCAGAAAAGAAAGGAAGAAGGTTTTTTGGGTTTTTAGTTCTTTGAAACCTTGCTTTTTAGCTCGCTTTTCAAAAGGATGCAATCTGGTACCGCTAGAAAATCAGAAAAGAAGCGTCCTTATGAAATAGGAGGCTTGAAATGAGCACACTCCCATTCGCAAGCATATCTTGGAGAAAATGACAAGCGCTGCGTAAATTTGATCGAACGTTAGGATGCATATTTGCATTTTACTTTTTCTGGAAAAGAAACAAGTTTTTCTTTGGCAATAACAGTTCCAAAACGAGAGCAGGGCGATGCATCATTTCGAAAGCTAACCCTTCTTCCCAACAAAACGATAAACAATAACACCAACCCTGGATCCCTCGCAAGGGGTATCCAGGTGTAAAACGTCAACATCAAAAAGCTTCCTCGCCTTCTTGAAGAAAACCGATTCCTTTTTCCACCTCCTCAAGTGGGCCATCACGAACACCGCCTTCCTCCGCTGATTGCCCGCTAAGAGCATTCTCAGTGTTTGGAGGAGAGGCTCATACAGGTGGTCGTGATAAACCACATCCGATGCCAGAATAACATCGAAATCCCGCCCAATCACTTCCACGTCATCTGCGTGACCCCACCTCAGCGGCGCCACGTTCACTGCCCCACCACTGGAAGCCAAAACGCCCGCGTTGGCGTTGGCGTTGAATTGAATGTTGGGGACCACATGAGGAAGGTCCGTGGCCGTCACATTGGCGCCAAGAGTGATTGCGGCGACAATTCCAACGATGCCGGTGCCGGATCCGAGCTCGAGGATATTTAGTGGGCGGCGATTTGGATCAACCGAAAATACCGAGAGTGTGGAAGTGAGAGGGCTACTGGCAGATTCGCATCGGTATCCATCCAGAAGGGAAACCAAAGTGGTGGCTGCCGGCCAGAGCTGGAATGAGAGACCTTCAGATGGGAGCTGCCGAATCACGACCGTTGAGTTAATCGAGCGGAGGCTGTGCTTCTGCAGTAGTTGCTGCTTCGCGGGACCGTTTTGCATGACAGTATTCCCGCCGTTTGCTTTGTGTTCTGTGTGCTGGCCATTTACCAGTACTTTCTCTTCATTATCCTCATCGTTTAAGAGGACATTCAGTGGGCTTATATCTTCATCGTCATTCTCTTCTTCCATTTTTCACAAGAACTCGCAAAACGAAGCGGTTGCCGATTCCATTTCCCAGTCTTCTCCTGTTACTTGTTAGGGCATGTTTGTCACGACATTTATACTCGCGGTGTTGGGCTTGTCCCCATCATGGTTATCTTTGTATGGGCTGGGTTGGGCCGTGTCATGGGCCTCATTGAGTGTATTCTGGCGAGGCAAATTTATTTTGTAAATCAGTCCCTTTCCTCCTTATAACTGTCCGAAGATTTCTGAGATCAGAGAGGCACTCTTCGCACTATAGACGTGCACGCAATAGATGTGTGATCGGAGAATGCCGTCGACGCCATCCACGGTGGCATAATTTCTGATACCAGCTCCTCTACCAACTCAGCTAGTCAGCTACTTATTCTCTCAATCACTCCTGTTTCATGATGCAGGCATCCGATATTTTCCCTGTCCGTCTTCTAAATTTTCTCCTCCTTGTTCTTACTCAGCAGTCAGCACAATTTTCTTACTGCTCAATAATTCCCGTTTCATGAGTTGTGTTGTTCTATCTTATTTTGCTCGGTGATTCTTACTGAGCACAATTTTCTTATACTCGTTTTTTCTCTCAGTCGCTCCCATTGTTTATAATTTAATTGCTTTGAGCGATGGAGAGATATGTTATCTTGTCATGAAGAGTTGTATTGTCTGATAATTAAAATCTTTTTGTTTTTTAAATCTAAGGAGCAGCAAGATGGTACGAGCAGTATTGATGATGAACAAGCCACGGAAATTCTGACTGATTAAGTCCTGTGAATTTTCGCTTTCTTTCTGAACACTCCAGCATTGAATTCCGCAAAGGATCATAATATATTGTTCTTGATTAAAGGATAGTATGCTAATGATGTGCTTGGTCAGATCGTAGAGAAGTAGCGGGATGTACCCAATTTCTCGGCAGGTTTCTCTCTTCTATCGTAGTCAAAAGATTAATGTAGTTGATTCTAGCTTTACTTACAGGATCGTAAATTTTGGCCTTGTTTGATTACACTGTACTGGACTTTTTACCAATGGCTTACTGCTTTTCTGTTTGGATTTTTTTTCTATACCTTAATTGTTGGTTTTTCCCGCTATTTTGGTTGTGATAAAGTACCCGATTTTTGTGGGATAATAAGTGATGGGGAGAGTTAGAACAATATAGGGAATAATTATTATTTTAAGTTATTTTAGATATATTCTATTTGATAATATTATTTAGGTTATTTTTCTGATTTGCTGAGTGATCTCAAGTTTAGGACTAGAGTCCCACGACACTTGTTCATTGAGTAAATAATCTTATTCATCTAATTTATTTTTCAGGTAGTTATTTATTTCTCATTATCTAAGTTATGGACTAATGGCAGCATGTATAAATCATCTGAAAATAAAATTAGTGTTTTGTTTTTACTAGCGAGGATTCTCCTCGAGCTTATTATTTCTGAGTTTTCTTTGCTCATATTCTAACCTACTATAACGATCTTCCTTCATCTTTATTGGTAATTCTGTTTTTATATTTTGATTAAAAAATTTCTTCTTTCTTTACCCTGTGCCCATCTTGAATGCTACAGGCAGTTCTCCGCCGTGCACCTGAAAAGCAACTTCGTGGATGTTGAGTCTATCTTCAGTTCGGTATTATTTTCATTCAGCTTTCGACTTATCAATATTTTGCTTTGGATTTTATTCCTTACTTTTTGTATGCTCCGGTAATCATAGTTGAGTAAAAATTCTGACGAGATTTACGATCTTATTGTTAAGATAAAGAAGAGGGGAAAACATGATAGAAGGTGCACATTTGGGTTTTCAAAACCATGTCTTCTACCTATTGTGTAAGAATGGGGTACCATAAACTTGCGTCTATTCTGCTAAAACTCTCGGAAGTTGAACACCTCAGTGTTAGGTCCATATAATATTCAGCAGCTTCTGTTGAACACATTTTGCACATTATTTTTTTAATTTGATTATCAACTCGCGCCATATTGATGATCTTGTTTGCCATAGTGCTTTTATGCTTCTGTCAACCTCTTTGGAGCAATACTTAACTATTGAGTGCCAGCTTTTGTTTTATCCTCAAAACAGTATATTCACCTTCACAAGTTTCCTTCAGGATCCTCGCCAACATTATTACTATACTTCATGTTTATATTTAATACTCTTCCGGTTCTTAATATAAAACCTATTTAACTAATTTAATTGGATTAAGAAAGTTAGGTAAGTTAGTTAATTATAAGAAATATGACATATTTTTTCTAAATCACCATAATCATCTTATTTACTATACTCTCTTTTTCTTCTACTTGATTATGGTTGAGAGAGTATCCATAGGGATAATTTATGAAAAATTAATAAATATGAGAAATAAGTCTTATATTTAGGATTAAAATCAACTTAACAGTTAGGTCATATATTAAAAACCAGAAAAGTATTTCTAAGACTGATCTTGCCATCGTCGACCAATACAAGGCATGAGCTCACTTGATATACATTTTATACCTTTTTCCGTAGTCAGTCATTCTAGGCTCTAATATTCTATGTTTGTGGATCAAGATCAGTATAGTTTTACTGAGAGCTTGCTATGCAATTATTCGCTTTGATTGTTGATCCGTCATTAACAACACACTTGAATTTGTTGCGTCGCACATCGATCCAAGCCTTGACTATGATGCCATGCATGTGCTACGCGACTGTCAAGTGGCCCAAGATCTGCGGACACAAATCATCGGACAGGATTATGGGAGGAATTCAATGCTGATTCGAGTCTTGATTGGATTAGATGGAACTCGCTTAAAGTTCTGAAAATATTAGCTCACAAAAGGGACTTTGTACTACTTTATTTGCTTGTGTTTGTTGAAGCTACCATGATAAACGTGGTAATTGGGTCAAAGGCTTCTTTCAAAAATCCGGGTGATTATCCACCAAATATAGCTGAATCGTAGGAATTCTAAATGGTCTGAAATTACGTTGGAATCTAGGAATTATGAAAGTGGAAGTTTATTGTGGCTGGCTGGCTGTGTAGAAGCCAATAATCATCCCTTTCACGTTATCATTGATGGAACCATTAATCATTTTTATAGAGATTTGATTGATAGTCTTTCTGGAGTTTGTATATAGAGGGTAACATATTTGCTCATTATTTTGCCAGAAAAGGTCATGAAACTATCAATGCTTTTCATATCTTTGATCGTCCCAGTGACAGCCAATGATGCTAGATGATCAAGCTTGTTTTTCTCCCTTAATGAATAAATCATTCTCACCTGAAAAATGAAAAAGAAAACTCCCACCATAGAGTTCCACTAAAATATACACAGCCACTTATTATGCACCAAGATCTATATAGCCAAGTCAATTGTGAGAGACTTGAATCCGAAAATGTGAAACCGCGATTTTAGTTCCGGTTGGTCTGCCGTTTGTTGCTGGATGGAATTCTATATTGAAGCTGTGCATTATTTAAACGATTTATTGGCGTCTTGAAGAGCTACTCGGGCAGCATTACGTCCTGGTGCTCCCATTACACCACCACCTGGGTGCGCTCCGCTTCCGCATAAGTATAACCCTTGAAGCGGAGTCTTGTAATTCGACCTACAAGTTCCAAAACAAAATAGAATCACAATCACGTCGTTGCCGGTTACAGTGGCTTGCATTAGTTATACGTTTCAGAGAAAGTGACAAAATGTATCACGTCATGTACCATCCTTTCACAGGTCGCAAGAGGAAAAGCGAATCCAGTCCCATTGCGCCATGAAATACATTCCCTCCTGTCAAAAAAATACCATTCACATTCCCCATTGAGATTTAATGCTTAACATAAACGTAGCACCCGCGCATTTTACGAAGAACTTCGCATTTCAATCAAATAGAATAATTTAAGGTTTCTTAGTCACTTGAACATAGAGTAATATTTAACCAGACAACTTCTACCTGTCAAACCGATTTCCCTTTCAAGGTCCGGGGGAGTCAGCATGTCATAACCGATCACTGATGCGCTGAAGCCAGGGGCATATTCATCAATCAGGTTGAAGCATCTGTGCAGAAATGATTCCTGAATGGGAGACTTGTCAAATAAAGATTCATCTTCCCGGCACGATATCGAACGAAGAGATTTAGGTCCCAGGAGGAAAATAAAACCCGACAAAACTTACTCTGTAATCCCGATCTTGCCAGTCACCATCCAGTGGTTTGTAAGGTGTGTACTGAACGAACAGGTTGATCACATGCTTACCTAAGAAGAATCAAAATTATTTTGTTGCCGACATATAGATAGCATCATATATTACAGCAGGACATGCATTGAAGGCAAAGCTTCTCCCGCACTTTTACTGGCGAGATGAACAATTCAAAATAATTTGTTAGAGCAGAAGTTTCAAGTACCAGGTGGAGATATAGTGTTGTCTAGTACAGAGGGAATTGTCATCTCAATAACTGGCCTTCGTGATGGTTTTCCATTCACTGCATCTTGAGATGCATCGTGAACCTCCTCCATGCTATACGGGAATTGACAAAGCTCAAGAAAAATTAAAAAAAAAAAAAAGCTCTGACTCTTTAATCTAGATTGAATAGACATTTTGGGGAAGAAATACATCAAACATTTCCAGTGACGACTGCATCGATTCTAGAATAAGATTAAAAATTGATTGAACCGTAATATACCTCTCTGAACCTATGTGAATTGTACCAGCATGCTGGGGGCCAGCGTCAGGATAATTTAACTTACAACTTTGGAACTGGGGTAATCTATCAACTGCAACATTTATTTTCGTAGTGGCCTGTTTCAATAGATATTCACCATGAAACAACGAATGAAGAAAACTACACCCCTTTGCAATCTAATCTGAGTTCCATTCATTGTAATGTATTTAATGAAAAATAAATAGCGTCTTCGAAAAACAGGCCTCGATTCTTGACCAAAAAGGATTTTAGCGTTCTGACGTCTAGCATAGCTAAGTGAGAAAATTATATCTTGTTTTTTTTTTTGGGTGAAAATATAATAATATTTAGGTTAAAATATCTTCAAATCATAATTTCTAAATATTATTAAAATTGCCACCAGACTTGTACAAATATACTATTAAGTTTTAGAAAAATTATTCCCAAATTTGAAGTTATTGTTCAGATGATTTTGTCATAATATTTTTAAACTTACAATTATATCCTCAGTGTTTTTGGTCTTGCAGTTTTCAAAGTCCTCCCCCCCCCCCCAAAAAAAACAAATCAACTTATATAATTCAAATTCGAGCCAGGATATAATTCCCTAGCTAGAAGTTGACCTAAAGGAAGGAAAAGTAAGCCCTTTTAAAATTTGAACACCCCCCACCCCACAAAAGGCATTCCTGGATGGTGTGAACGATAGCGTGGCTTTAGCTAGTGTTCAAGGCACACTGTTTTGATATCCTAAATTTTTTATAGTTATATGCACAGACGCTAAAATATCCATAAGGGAGAAAAAAGAACAGCTGAAATAGATTAGAAAAAGAACTTACAGAACTGTAGTCAGAATACTTAATTGCATGAACAAAATCGTTGGGGAGCACGTTGTCAGGCACTAATTCCTGGAGCATGTCACCAGAAACTCTAAGTAACACCAAATCTAGGAATTAGAACAGTTAGCATCGGCCATCGATTTGAGAATTTACCGTGAAAGTTTTATAAGGAGTCGCATTAGACAGAACAAATGAAGAATGCACTGGGGTACCATCAGCCAGCATCACCTATATATGCAAGTCATATTAAGAATCAACTTACGGTATTCAACTTTAAAACCCAACTTGATTGAAGGAACTCAGAACAACACTAACCCCGCAGACAGTGTTAGAGTTTTCAACCAACAGCCGAGAAACCTACAAAAACACATAATATCGCGGTAATGAGAACCTTGGGAAGGTAAAAGATATGTGGAAGGTTAGAGAATAAGCCTACGAAAATTAATGCATGCAATACCTTTACGGCTTCCACTAAATCCCCCTCCAAAAAAAAAAAAAAATCCGAGAGACCCTCAGCCTAGTAATGAAGTAACCACCATATTTCTGATCAACACTGTAGACGGAAATACAATTATATTGTGCTTGACGACTTATGTACTATATTACTGCCCATATATACAAAGTAGACATTTGAAAACTTGAGTATAGGAAAATGCATCTTCATGATCTGCTTCCCGTCTGCTTACCTATATTTCATAATTAGAATTACATCGGTGAAAACTTCAACTGTTTCATTCTTTGTGATATGTCAGGCCTCGACAAAATTTGCAGTAACTCATTCAGAGTATAAAATTTCCAGTATTTGCTGGTTGCATCAAAGATCCTATTGAACAAGGATACAACCGCCTAAATTACAAGAATCTTCCCACAGTGACAATTAATGGCCATTATTGAGGGAGTGAAGGTTGAAAGCTTAAAGAGATCTTTCACACCGTACCTCAGCGTCGGTTACAACATGAGCCCCAGCTTCCCTCGCAGCATTACAAATAGCCTTGGATACTGAGCCCATTCCACCTTCAACGTACCTAAAGGAAATAATGACATGCTTAAATAGTAAGAGTTACGTTTTCAAGGATATATTTGTTGAAAATGGCTCACATATTTTTACTGCGCAAAGCTACTGGCAAAGATTAGCTAGCTCGTAGTTAACTAACATGCTACTACTAATCCCAAATAACACGATGTCATTGCCACTCATGTCTTCCATAGTATTTTGTAAAATTCGCTTAGTCAACATGCACCAATGTTACATTAGAATAAAGTAAAGAAATAGATTTTTGGCAAATTACTGTGGCCATTGATGTGATTCACTATATAGATTTCAAGCCAGCAGCAGAGATACATACGACCAAATTCCACGATCCCCATCAGTTTCTCCCATAACGTGATGTAGCAGAACATAGCCACTTCCTGGGGTGTGGACACTTCCCTGCATAGAGAATTGAGCACACAGTGATACTAAAGATTGGTATTTGCATGAAACATCCATTGCACTGTTTTTTATCAGATAAACTGAGAAGCATAATTGCGCTATTGCACTAGTATCATAATGTCTCTGCCCCTAAAACAAGGGGTAAAAATCCGACTATATCAAAACCAATTTTCCCAGTAAAAGTAACTAATCTTACTGTAGTTCCTATAACAGCATCTGTTGCAAGAGTTGCCTTTAGGACATCTGTCTGCAGAAACGTCAGAAACATTATTTGACCTTTAACCATAAACAGCAGGGAAATGTGGAAAAGCATCCACATAAATGCTTAAATAATTATTTCATCACTGTGTGATCTACATGTCAATAAATGAATTTGCAATATAATTAATGGTTACAGAGAATTCAGCTGAAGAAACAAGCATGTTAGAATCAAATTTGCAAGAAGTATAGCATCAATAGACAGCAGAAATCGAAGATGTCCAGGCAAAAATAATATCCAATCTCAACTTCTTTCTTTCACACCAGGACAGCATATATGATAAAAATTCTACCTAAAGGAGTTCAGGAAAATTTCTGACAGAAGGTAACAAAAAGCCGCCAAAAAGTCTAAAGCTTTGACTTCAATCTATGAACCCATCCTCTAAAGACTAAAACCATATAAAGATAATATAACATCAGCTATAAGAACAAAGATAATATAACCTCAAACCAGTTGTTCAAAACTTTAGAAGCTGGGGACAACAGAAGGTCCAAAAAGTCCCTGCCAAACAAATAAGAAGTAACTAAATAAGATTGGCAATTTTCAAATTACCAGCTATGGGACTTGAATCACGAAGATTCCTTAAGTACTTTGCGACACACAATGTGAAATTTTAGTGGAAATAAAGGCAATTTCAAGTTGCAGAGCAATAGAAAACTTACACCATATCTTTCTGTCCCAATGAGGCTGCCTGCCGTAGAAAATTTGCCCAAAAGACTGAATTCTGTAATTTATGCTTCATCTGTTCGTTAAAAGATGCCTTGTACTGCAGAGACTCAGGAGGAGCTGAATCCAGCACTGGATCCATAAATTTACAGAAGCTCTCAAGCTGCTTCTCATATCTGTGTAATAGAACAAAGAAAATGACTCCCAATAAGGAAAAGAACGTTAGAAAGACAGACGAAAAATGGTCATATGATTTGTGAAGCATATAAAGTCAATAAGCTTGACAATAAGCTGCTCAAATTGGTTTTTCAAGTGATGGATGAAGAATTAGAATGCAGAATATCAAAATATTTTTGAGCCTATCAGATCAAGTTCAGAAAAATGTGTTTCAATTTTCTAGTTATTTATTTGCAGCTTGTGAATCTACGGTTACGCAAGTCCCTGAGCGTAATGCAAGGCTAATACATAAACCATAAATTTTTAATTGGCATCGCTTTCCATTAGGAATCATTTGACTGCATTTCAAAAGCAACGATCAGAGGTGATCTTTCTCGTTCAATTTTATTCGCCTAAAGATATCTATCATGTTAACAACACTTTGAAAATATTAAAGTCTCTCCACTTTTGAAATCTGAACTGATACAAATTCCGCTGTTGTGCTTATAGTGCCTTGAATGCATGATAGAAAATTCCACATTGAAATAACAATCATTAATCCTTGCCCCCGTAGCTCGGGGGAACGATGAGCAAAAACAGTTATTGTGATGCAATTACTTCTTAAGATGACGGTACGTTAATTAAGATTATAAAAGAAGGACGAAAGAAAGGAGGAATAGCACCTTGGATAAGCATCGGCGTCTCTTTTAGAGAATTTCGAAATCTCAGAATGATTGAGGTCTTTATCAGGCCCTAAAAGAAGATACCGTCCGTCGAGACAGGGAGTAAACGACGACGGATTTCTCTTCAACAGCTTCAAACCGTGTTTCTTCAACTCTAATTCACTGTTCGTCCACAAAGTGATGCAATAAACAATAATCAAGCAGTAGTCTCAGCAAATAACCATCGTAACCGAAACTGCAAAGCTTACTTAATTACGGAGGGACGGAGTAGACTCTGAAGATAACTGCAGCGAGAAAACTTGAAACCCGGAATGAGCTCCTCTGTAACAGCGGCTCCGCCAATAACGTGACGGCGTTCGAGGACGGCTACGGAAAGACCCCCGCGGGCGAGATAGGCGGCAGCAGTGAGGCCGTTGTGGCCGCCACCAACGACGAGAGCGTCCCATTTTTTGTCCTTCAAAGCGGATGCTGCAGTGCTGAATCTCCTTCGCCACATCCCTCCTTGCTTTTCTTTTTCCTTACCTGCTTACCTAGTTTCATTCGATAACTAACATTGGATTATAGAATATGAGAAGTAAAATGGGGATAAAGATTCCATAATCTTGGAAGAGATATTACTGACTCTAAACTGTAGTGCATCACACGTGGGCCACTTTTTCCGAGTCCCGCCAATTTCTTGCACCTTTCAAACGCACGGTCCCGCAATCTCTGAAGCAGCTCTGCCCCTAGAGAGGATTTTTCCACCGAGGTCCCCAAAAAGTATCGTAGGTTAGCCAACAAACCTCAATGATGATGTCTTTATAATACTACCTTTTTTTTAATTATAAAACTTATTTATAAACTACAGTGTTAATTATTTATGAAAACAATGAGCAAACTTCGGTCCCGTGGTCAGGACATTGGACTCTGAATTCTGAATCCGGTAAGGTCCAAATACATCCATCGTGATTTATCCGAGTTCCTTATGCCAGGATCTGTCTTCGGCTTGCGACAATAGCCACTGCTATTGGCTCATGGTCTCCACGTAATGCTCCCGAAATTAACAGTGTGAAATTCTAAAAGCCTTGGCCTGATTAGAAAAACAAATTAAATTAGTTATTTATAATAAATCTATATTGCCTTTTTTAAAATATTATTGCTAATCAAATGTATTGATTAGAAATAGTATTATTAAAAGAACTACCTGGACATCATGTATTTTATTAATGAAGTCATACAAAAATTCAGACTCCATTGACACGAGGATCGTAGTTGCAGCGACATAAGAGCTTATTGACGGTACAGGACCCCAATCTGCTTCTATAATGTGTTGTCAAAAATGTCTCTGTTAATTGTAAACTATTTCCATTTAAATATAGTTTTAATGTATATAATTAAATAAGAATAATTTAAGGAAGTCAACTCACACTTATTACAAATAACTAACTTAACTAATTTTTTAATCTTTTTAAAATTAATTACTAAACTCTTATATTAAAAACTGAAAGTAGTAATGTATTTGGCAGGCGTCCAACTGTTATCTCATTAAATTTGAAAAAAGATAAACTAGTTAAATATTACCTCTAGTCCTTAATATAAAAACTAGTTAAATAATTTGAGTAGATGAAGAAATATTATAAAGTTAGTTATTCATTATAAATAGGTATTGTCTTTCTTAAAATATCCTTGCTAATCAAATATATTAACTAGAATTATCATTATTACAAGCACTATTTTAGGAAAAAAATAGAGAAATATGAAAAATAAAATATATTCAAGTCTTATATCTAAAATCAAAATAAAAATTAAATGAACTGATAGGATGTAGCATATCAAGATTTTGGGCTGCGTCAGTATGTAAAGAATGCTTGCCGTGGTGCTTGCATACCTTGTTCAATTAAGCGGTCCAGACCGGGCGTGTTGTCATTCGGATCAAGGAAAATAAATGGAGGCAAGTCCATCCCATTGCTTTCGTGAACCACAAAAAAAGGGTCATTTTTTTATCATCGATCCTCTTGAGCAAATAGCCTGGGTTCTACTAATCAAAGAATTTTTTGTACTGGAAAAGATAAAAGACTATACAAAAACTAATGTGCCCTTATATTTCATGAATTTTTAGGTTACTTTCCAATTCGTTTACTAATCACACTTTACATTCAAAAGATTCCTCCGATCATAGTGATTAGTTGCCTCAAGTCTTCTTTCCATCCATTAGTCCCTCGTTAGATGGACAAGCAAGAAATAAGTGTTCGAGAGTGCCTTGGCTATACATGACCAGTGAACCCTTATCGTTGGTAGAAATAACCCATTTATTGGAAACTCAACAAAAGATGAAGTGAAGAGACAATCTTGGATCCTTTTAGGACATCATAAACATTGAATCGGGAAAAGTTCCCCTTCCTGTTTACCAGAGAAATTCTGTTGTAGCGTAGTAAACATCAATTGTGCAGTGCATTAGTAAGACCATGCTTCGTTTTGTTCTTCAAATTTCCTGTCGTCCTAGTTTGAACTTAGAGATAACTAACATTCCCCTACAGAAGGAAAAAGAAATTAGGAAGAGATATTCTGTTTCGAAACCAATTTTTAACATTTTGCCATATGCTTGGCTCTTGTGCAATTCTCAAACCATGTCATAAACATATTTAGCAACCATCACATTACTGTGGAGTACTACTGAAATCGAATGCAAATAGCACTATCGCCTTGGTTTCAGCATGATACCTTGGGCTAGCGGCGGCCGAACCCCACTGCTGACTTCACAATGGTCTCTATATTGTGCTCACTGCAAAGACTAGATATTTTACTTCAAAAGAATGTTTTTAAAACTTTTGTAATGCATGTTTCAAATCTTGATCTGGAACCTTCACGGCACAATGCGGCATTTATTAAGTATTCATTTATGTGATAATGCCAAAAGCTAGAAAAGAATTAGAGCTTTTCACATTAACTGCTGGCTGAAGAAGTCATAAGTGTGAAGAAAAGTGACGTTACCAATGAAGATGAACATCATTTTTTGGGAAATCAGTTTAACATTTCTCTTGAAGGACAGATCATCAGTAATGTGTATATCTCCACATGGCTCTTGCTTTAGGCGTATGCAATAAAATTACTAGCAAAAAAAAAACAAAAAAGGCGTATGCAATAACATTCTCAAGTACACCGTTCACCAAGGCCTATATCTTTTCAGGCAAGAGTCCCATACTGCAACTGATTTTTGTTTACCGGTTAGACACTTCATCTCAAACAATTTAAACATAGACAAAGTCTACAGGGATGAATAAGTAATTAACAATTTAGTACCGCTTCAGTCCAAAATTTTAACTGCATGCCTTCCATTAAACAAAAGCAATGTCTCTCAGGATCTCCATATTCAGTTACAAGACATAGATGTTACATTGATGTCATGGCAAGAAAAAATGATACATGATTGAAACTAGGGAAGGAGCACCATAGACAATATGGTACTAAGTGAAACAAAAATGCATCCCATTTAATATTCCATACAAACAGAAGCATCACCTCGAAGCTGTTACATTCCAAAATCTCCACTCGAAAATGCATGTAGTTGCGTTAATCCAAATATCACCAGGCAGCAACCGCGAATAATATTCTTCATATGTGTAAGTCAAACCATAACTAACAATTTTGAAATCATTTAGAGAAATGCTAAAGTAAAAAGATGCAATATACAATTAAATGAGGCAGCTACTCATCTTCCGATATTCAATATTGTTGAAAACCTCCTAATCCTTAGCCGTTGACTGAAGTGGTAAAGATGTTTCGTTTCCACTGGAGCTGTCCCTCTTTTTTCCAAGTAACTGTTTTGAACAACATAAAATTTATTACTAGCCAGTTACAAAAAGCAGCAAATTAAAAGGAGAGAAACAGAATACTTCTTCGTCCCTTATTATAAGATCCAATTTTTTGAATTGGTTTGTCCTTATTTATAAGATCCTCCTTAGGTTTGTATAAACAATAAATGTAGTTTTACCCACTTTACCCTTAATTGACATACTCTCCCATTATCTATTTTTCATACATTATCTCCCATTTTTTCTCACTCACACCTAGCCACTTATAAATAAGGACATATTTGAGGAGAAAAATATTTTCAACATATTTAATACTTTTAGCTAATTTTAACAGTTTTTTTAAACCACATAATATAGATAAGTGAATCTTATGATAAAAGACGGAGAGAGTATATACACATAGCCTCAAAGGGCATTTACCTTTTGAATTGTATTTATCAAGCATGTCTTGTGTTCATCCATGGAAGCATGGATGAACTCATGAAAGTGATCTCTTAAAGTAGACACAAAACTGCCATTCTTGGACTTTCCCCTTTGGCAGAATGTAACTCTTGATTGAGGGGTGACAAATAGTTTCTCATCAGCCCGCCCGTCGTTGGAACCCATTCGGGTCAGCACCTGGAATAAAGAAAACTTATATAGTCAGCACCCATTCCACAAAAAGAATCAACTAAATTTTATTGTGCATATCTTTTAAGTTGCTTTCTTTAGAGAGATTCATCACAAATCGCCAATCCCTCTTTTTCTTTCTTTCTTTCTTTCTTTTTAATTTTTTTGTCTATCTATATCACACAACAGCCAAATTCTTTTTCTGAGCAGCGTAGAGCTAAATTGTGTACACCCTGTGAACTTACTAAATTGACATGGGCCTGTGCCAGAGATCCGGAGTTTACAAAGAATATTGATGTCTATGCTTGATTTATGTGAAACGGAGAAGGTGAAACTGACAGAGTAATTAGATTCAGGATTAAAGCTTAGACACGCATTTTCGTGTAATCGCACCTCATCTTCCGCTCGCTCATTTGCACTCCACCCAAGTTTTTTTTTCCCCCAAAAATTTTTTCTCGAAATTCGATGTATCCAATATTTGAAGATTGCAACAGATGCAAGAAAATTAATATCCTGGCAAGAAAAGGAGGTACACATGCATGCGTAGTCAATTAATTAAAATTTAAAACATTACAACGGGAAGTCTCACAATTAAGACCAGCTAGTTCGCTGCACTGGAGAATATTCAAAAACAATCCGCACCAAACTATCATACATTAAAGAAAAGCAAACTGCAGCTTGTATAACTGCTTGAGAAAACTGGAAAAGATAAACTAAAAATAACAAGCATATGCCACATGTTTCCCCCTTGATTTAAGTGGACCGATGCTTGAATTAGTTCACCGCCAGGCCACGCAGACAAAAAACTGCGAAAAACCTAGAAAGATGAAGGATGTGACAAGCAATAAATGCTAAGGATATTTACCGTGTTACCAAGTTGCCTCCAGGTCCGCCTTGTGCTGCGAGGGCGATCATAAAAGGCGGCGAGGCGCTTTCAGCACGATGCCGGCATATCACTCCTGTGGCGTCGTATAAAGTTTTGCGGGCAGAATTTGATTATTGACTCCCGAGGGGCTGATTGCGACTCTCCCATAGACTATGATTTTTCCGTGGGCTTTACTTAAACGTTGATACACATTATTAATAAAAATATTTTAAAAATTAATAAAAAATTTTAATTTACTCTTCCGATCTTTAATATAAGACCCATTTAATTAATTTAATTAAATTAAAGAAGTTAGGTAAGTTAGTTAATTATAAGAAAAGTAATACATTTTTTCTAAAACACTATAATCATCTTTCTTAATACCATATCTCCCTCTTCTACTTGACTATAGTTGAGAGAGTATCCATAAGGGTAATTTAGAGAAAATTGATAAATATAAGAAGTCTTATATTTAAGACCAAAACCAATTTAAGAATTGGGTCCTATATTAAGGACCGAAGGAGTATATAAATTAGTCAACTAGTCCTTATATTAAAAATCAGAATAATACATTTTTCTTTAAAAGAAAAATTAGGCATTAATGATGCAAAAATAAATTGGTAAGACAATTATGAGAAAAAATTAATCGTTTTATTCCTATAATTTCAAAACAACGTCAGTATAGTTTAGTTTTTTAATTTTACTTTGCTTAAAGCTTAGCACAATTTAACTCATATACAGGTATTAAGGTTTAAAATTTAAGGCCCAACGGAATAGGATTACTTTCATTAGAAAAACCTATGCCTTGGGGGGGGGGGGGGAGGATCAAGGCGCATTGCATCAAATTCAGTTGGCAGGAAACAAAAATGGACTAAGTTGCAATTAACGCAAAAGATCGAACGTTTTTTTCTTGTTTTAGTATGAAGGATAATATATCACGATTTTTTTTAAAAAACAAAAACAAAAGTGTCATTTTATGGGAAAATATTTAAATATATAAGAAAATACGAAAATTAAAATTAAAAACATATAGTAAAATAAAAATAACAAGTCTACAAATATGACTACAATATTTTTTAATCAACCGTGCACAGGCTAATAAATCTAGTTCAGATAAAATGATGAAATACGGCAAGTCTACATATTCACATGAACGTCGAACTACCAAGTTGGGAGCACCGACTTGTTTAAGGGCACAGCTACTTCACATGGTTTACAAGAAAGAACGCAGTGACGTTCCCATTCTCACAAGGCGGTTCTTTCACAATCTTGTGGATCAAGCAATCTGTCGAAAACTTGCATGTATCCAAGAATGTTATACATCATTCAGTGATGCAGTACACTCACGATTTTCGCCAGACAAGCAATATCAGGTTAGGGATTGGAACCATTTCATGAAAAAGGACTAGTCAAGCATGTAAATTCTAGAGGCTATGTCCTGGACTAACCAATCGAATCCCTCAAGCAGACCCTGACCCGTAAATGCACTGCAGCCAACTATCTTCCAGTGCCGTGATTTCTCCATGGCTTCTAAGTTCAGCACCTGTATATGAGGGCATTTCAGAAATTAAGATCCTTTTTTAGATGCTCTTCTTTCTTTCTTTATTTCCCTTTCCCCTTTTTTTTGTGATAATTGGACCAAATATAGTTACAAATTACAATCATGAGCTAGCGAATACAACTATAATAATAATCCCGCAGTCTGGGCTATAAGGCATATGTTATGGAAATAGGATATTAGCATTTTGTTAACGGATGTAACATCATCACGCTATACGTGTTGATTTTATAATCTTCGACAAAATTAACTATGGTCAGTTGTATGAATTCCTGAAATGCTACAGATGAAGGGAGCATCCCAAACCATAAGCATACCTTGGCTATTTCTTCAGGTGCAAGAGCGCCTTTAATGTCCTGCTTATTTGCTAGTATCAGTAGAGATGCTCCAGATAGTCTCTGTGTATGAAAATACCAAGTATTACAAACCAAACGCTCCAACAAAAACTGTAGACTATGAAAGAGAAAGAGGATTCAATCGAGCACCCCAAATTGGTGTCCGCAGGAAATACTTCGATTGGTTTTGTCACAGCAAATTTTTCTTCTTCTACGTGATAAACGATGAAGTGCTTGTAATTGGGTTACGGCTATACCTTCTCCGCAGTAAAGAAGCAAGTTATTATAAGGAAAAGCAAAGCAAAGGGACTACTGAAAGTATAAACAAACTTTAAATCCCGGAATCATCTTAAGGCACTGGTCCACAAGCAACAATCCTTAAGCAGCAGATTACCAAGTACAGGTAGTACTAGCTCAAAAGTATGCATAGCAGTTTAAGCTAATCAAACATGGGGAGGATGGACTGATGATATAATATTCCCAAAGAAGGACTTAAGTAAGCAAGTTGCTCAGTTGATGAAAAATAAATATTGAACAAACCTCTTCCTTCAAAAGGTTATCCAGCTCCATTTTGCAATCACCCAACCTTCGTAGATCTGAACTATCAACTACCCAGACCAAACCATCCGTTTGCTCAAAGTAGTTTCTCCAATAAGATCTTATTGTCTTTTGTCCCCCAACATCCCATATATTGAGAGTATACCTGCCAATGCCAGCATGGACAGATTGTTTATAGCCAGTTATATCACGATACTTTGCGAAGCAAACTGTAACAAAGAATGTCAATGATCAAGTATGCGCTGCAAGTTTAAAGTGAAATACGAAGCAATTTTTTTTGGGGGAAAAAAAAAACAGTCATGCTCTTGGAATGTACAGCATGTGAAGAAGCAAGAACACAAAATTTTATATCTGAAGTGTTCCATAAGCATCTAGATGAGAATAAACTAACTCCATTTAATTCCCAAACCAACAACTACAGTCTACAAGATTAATAGCAGAGATATAATAAATTGCTGTCATAAAATCAGAACAAAAAAGATAAAACACGCGTTACTTATAAGCTGATTCAGTAATGAAATGAAGGGGAAAACGATAAGATACTGAATTTTACTTTTTGTAGGTGATGGTTTTGATGTTAAAACCAAGGGTAGGACTAATTACGCTAGTGTCTTCTCCGTTAATCTTCAAAACTATCGTGGTTTTCCCCGAATTGTCCAGTCCGCTGCATAACGATCAAGACCGATTTGTAAGTAGAAGGAACAGAGATACAGAGAATAACGATTTGCGAAAGAATAGAGAAATTGCTTACACCATGAGAATGCGCATTTCCTTCTCTTTCCTTTTGATTTTCCGAATGATGCTGAGAAGACCCATAGATCTGCGTCAGAACAAATGCCAGAAATATATAGCTGTGAAGTTTTCGAATTAAAATTTGAGTAGTCAAAGCTTAGTTTCCAAGGCGACAAGGAGAGCTGCGGAGGCCGGGAGGGGAACCGAGGAATGGGAGGGGCTGCCATTGGTCGCTCCTTGTGGATCCAGATCACCTCAATTGCTCCCAAAGTGCCTTAATGGCCATCGTTAGATTCATCCAATGGCTTAAAGAAAAACTGGTCAAGATTTTAAAAATAGGAATTGAACATATTATTTGACACCATATTTTATGGTAGTATCCCATCCATTCGCTGGTCAAAAAAAAAAAAAAATCCCATCCATTCTTACAAAGCGAGTATGTTTCAATTTTGGCGCCATTTTCCCCTCCCACGTATTCATACCTCCGTCACATTCTCGTCTTCTTCCTTTTTAAAATTCATTTTCAAAGCCACTGTGCATTGTCCCGTATTTGACATATCTCCAAAGCTACATTATCAACAGGTTAATCGTACTAAGTCGTCCTTGATTTAGAAACTCCAAATTGTGAATGACATAAAAAGTAAATTAAAAACACTTCTTAATATAGAGAAATAGGCAAACAAGAATGTTAGAAGATTTAACATCTTTTTAAATTAATGTGACATTTTGTATATTATTTTTTTTATAAGAGTATGCTCCCTTTTATGTAATTCTTTCACTAGAGGAATTTAATTATTTCACTTTTCTTCAAAACTATACTCTTTAACCCCCAAAAACACGGAAATAATTAATGGAAGTCATTTTAGCCCAAAAAAAAAAAATACTGACAGCCATTTCTAAAGGATGTGATTTTTTTTACCTCAGATTGTGAATATTGAAAATAAATGTCCTTTGAGCATTAACATTTTTTTTTGGTCAGCCTTTTAGCGTTAAGGAGTTTGGCAAAACCTCAAAAACACTCTGAAGAAAATGCTTTCATAAAAATAAAAATAAAACTCCTCTCCCGTAACTACCTCCGTAAAATCATTTCCATAAAAAATAATTCAAACAGCCCCTGGACCATTAATCTTGACGCTGAAAGTATAAGGTTTCTTTTTTTGGGTCAACAAGGCGTAAGAATGGTGAATTTCGAATAAATGAAAAATGCGCAGCGGGAAATTTGGTGGGATTTCATTTTATCCGCAAATTCACAGGGAAGCATACAATCTGCTTCAGCCATAAGCATTCCAATCTACTTTTATTTCGCTTCTTCCTATACCCAGACAAGTCGACTGAGGAGAAGGATCTACATATACCAATCTCCAATTCTACCATTTCCCGTAAGTGTATTTTCATGCTCTATCATGGCGGCATATTGGCAGCCACACTAATTATATTAAATCAAATTAGCAATGAATTGGGACAAAATTTGAAGAACAACAAATATTCAAATGTCTTAACGCCAATTAATTCGAGAGCCTTGGGGGCTTGAGAAAGTAAATACTCTTCACAAAACCTTTCCCAGCATCACCTACTGACTTCAGCAATTTGCTTGGGTCATATTCGTCCTTCTCAACTACTTCCTCTTGCTTCCGTTTCTTGAAAATAGAAAAAGAAACATTTCAGTGACGAAAAGTTAAACATTCATGCTGATGTACTCGGTAAGTCGGACTCCCAATGTGTTCGCAATTTTACCTTTGAAGAATAACTTTCAACCCACGTTAGGCCAACGGCGTCACCTCCCAACAAATCGTACCATACCTTGAACGTGGTGGAGAACTCTTTCTGTAAGTGATCAACGAAAAGTATGCGAATCAGAAGATTTGAGGGTGTACTATGAACGGGAAGCAGAGGGGAGGGGGAAAAAAAAGCATTATGATCAAATATTAAATGAATTTGAGGGCACTTGCCTCTAAATCCCTGATGAAGAATCTTAATGGATCAAAGTCAACCAGCAACTTGCTTTTAACTTCCTCTGGCCTCCCCTTCAAATCTCTAGGCAAAAGCACAGGCTGGAAACACTTGCTAGCATGTCCTCTAACAACAAGTTTTCCTAAAAAAATGCAAACAATTATTAAACTAGATTAACCAATTAATCATAGCTTGAGATACAGAAGATCATGCTTTTTAACATATTAATTCCCAGCCCACAGTTTTAAGCCAACTTATGCCACAGTTACATGCTTCATGCGATGTGGTCGACTATATTCTAATTCCGAACAAACGAAGAATTACATTTTAATCGCTTCTTAGGATTTTACAGAAGTTTTGAACATCCGTCAACATGCACAACAACCAATATATTTTAGTTTTAGTTTATAGACTAGCCCAATCATATTAAAAACTAACATAAAGTATAGAAGTCCCAGCAGCTAAAAACAATAATTTAGATTCAAAATATTTTAAATAATTGACTCCATAATATCAAATTTACATAAAAATTACGACAAGCAATAATTAACTATATACCATGAGCAACTTCTGACGGGAAGAGAAGTCTTTGCGGATCAGGGAGTTTATCTCTGTGAAGAAGAACTATGGCATCATAATTGTTCAAAGGAGTTCGGAAAAGGCACTGCAGCAAGAATTGAAAATTCTTAACAGTCTCTGAAAAAACATCTTTTTTCTAAAATCAAAAGTTAAAATGAATAAGAAATTAAAAATGTGTTACTCTCACCTCCCATCTGTATGGACCAATCTGATCCTGAAATATAAGTTTCGTCAACAAGTTTGCACTACTACGGGCATAAGCCACCAGCCGTTTAAGTTCCTGTTGGATGAAAAAATCAAGGGTCACATGAAACGCATCAGCACCGCCTCATTATCCTATATAAGCATGCAATAGAGAAGCGGAGGAGGAGACCATGTATTAAGCATGTTAAATGCGGAATTGGCTTAAAAAATTAATATGCATTCCTTGTATTTGGTGGATCTAAGATAGTATAACCTCTGGAAAATTCCATATACGGCATGCATATGCAATGATTATCAGGTCCAAATTATTGAAGGCATCAATGGCGATGTAACTATACTTAGCAACAACCCAACTCCTACGCCACACCATAATTGTAGAAAAACTACTAACATTTAGTGCACTATCAAACAGAGGGCAGAAAGACATTACAAGGAACATAGTTTTCGTGAAGCAATGGCAACCAACCAAAATCAGGCCCACAGAGCTAGCAAGTTGAAAAACAATATAATATTTCACTTTTGACATGAGTTTGCAGAGAAATTATCCAGTTTACAGAACAACGAACCAATGCACTTGGTGAGGATCCTGTCCATGCCTCAGATGTTTTATCATAAACCGTGGCTATAAACATAGCTGGCCTTACTCCATTCTCTCCCTGAACCTTTCTGCTCAACACAAAGTTATCCTAAAAATTTGATATAGTTATTATCAAGCACAGAATGAAATTAATGAAGACCAACATAATCATTAGTTCTAACCCACACACACCTTAAAAGAAAAGGACTTACGGTTATTTCTTTCTTATCGCTTTGGCTTAGGTCATTATTTATGTCAACAACCAATGAAGAGAATGTCCAGCCATACTCTGAGAGTAAACGAAGGAATCTGTTGATCAATAAAACATAGGAAGTCATCAAGACTAGGAAAAAGTCCCAAACGACAACGTACCCATTTCATTAAATGGTAGATCATAGCCAACATATAAAAAGAAAATTATACTGCCTCCGATCCTAAATATAAGATCCACCTCATGGTGTATTTTGCGCTACAAAGTGGATCTTACATTTAATATCAGAGGTAGTATCAAAAATCTATGCAGCATTCAGATAAGTACTGCTCAGGCTATTGTTGCATCTACTCATAGAAACATGGTTGCTGATTACAAACAGACAGAATTTGGAACTTCACCTTAAAAACCCAGTTATCCTTGAGCAAGGAGTATTAAATGGCAATGGATTAAGAAAGACGGATGCAACCAAAAGCTCAACTGCTTCCTCTACCAAGCAAGCCGAAAATAGATGTGAAGCAGCCCATCGTTTTGCAAGCCTTCACACACACACCGACAAACACATACATACATGAATAGCCTGTATATGTCATATATTAAAATCTGAAAACTGCTTAAAATATAAGTATTCAAATATTTACCTAGCTACTGATGCATATATTGGGTAACGGCTTTGTAATCCATTAATCATGCTAGAATGTTGACTACAGATGAAAAGTTTCTTGTCTGTCAAAGAAACACGCTTTTCTTGACCATTCTCACCTGGAAGTTAAAGTGGTTTGATAAGTAGAACTGACCGGCAGAAATCTTAATGAACCAGTCACTCGGATTATAAGTTAAAGTCCATACTTTCCTTGCTGAGCAAACTGAGGCCCCTCTCATGCAAAATTTTAAGACGAAATGCATATCCAGATAATAATACATCCACATTATCCTCGGTCGCAATACATGTCATTCCCCATAGTTTTTGAAGACTGTTATGATTGCAGCATCAAATTAAAGTTAATAAATAATAAATGAATAGATAAATAACAAAACCCAGTAATCAATAAAGAATCCAACCCTGACCCACCTCTCTCCAATCTGAAGAAGGAAGGCCGATTTCGTCTTTTCCACTGCAACTTCATCCATTGGCCAGTTACCAGAACCTTCCAGCTGTAAGAGCAAGCAAGAATCCATAAATTTACCACAGAAAATCATCTCAAAAGCGAGACAGGTTTCTTCTACCATACCTGAATCATAACTTCCAGTGGTTGAATGCAAGACGGGATGGCATTATTCAGTTTAACAAACTCATTTTTTTCACTAGCCAAAAGATGAGGTTCAGGAGGGAAGGCTGATGTCAACCTGAAAGCTGTAAACAATAATGAATACGAAGGCTCAAAGATTCAAACTAGTATTACCCAATAACTCCATTACATATAAAAACATAAACACCCTTATTCTTAGGTCAGTATAGTTTTTGTTTTTTTCTCTTTACCCAACAACACAAACCCAAGCATTGACACAAAGATGTCTTTACAAAACAGTTCAGAGAACTTTAAGAATATAGTATATCTTTGATAGAATAATATTTTTCCCAGGTGGAGAAAATACCAGAGTTTAAAGGCTGTACACTAGACACCTTCAAAGGGATGTCTGGAACTAGACGCAAGCGCTTTGATAAGACATCAAATGCCTTAAGCAAACTCTCAGTATATGAAATTGGATCTGTAAAATGTTTTAAGATCAAAACATTGCGGGAGATAATAAGTTAATTATAGAAGACAACAAAGATAATTTAACTAAGATTTTACCACCAGCTCCATGTAGCAAAGAGAAATCAAGTTGATCCACGGCAACTACAATATTTTCTTTCAACAGAGAGAGATGTCGAGTGAGTATATGCTCCACTATTCTTTTTAAAATAAGATGTCTTGCCCACTTCTCACTTTCCCAGACTGGGGAAGAAAACAACCAGGAATCATGTAAATCACCATGATACTTGATATGTTCAAAGAAAGTAATGGTAATTATATCGAATCAACAAAACCAATTGCCAAACCAGAAAATAACTTGCCTGTGCTTTCTGCAATTCTACCATCTTTAAATCGCCTAAGCTCTGCTTTTTCCCCCCAGAACTTCCGAAATTCTTGCACCTGTTTTGGGTAATAAGTTTAACTAGTGTTGTATCAAACCCAAGTTTTGAAAACGAAAAAAGAAAATGCGTCAGTGCCAAGAGAAACAGCAGATACCTCTTCACTATTTCCAGCATTGGGGCCAATATCAATCATCCTAAATGCTTTCTCCACATTACTCACTGAAATTCCAATAAATAATGGCTCTTTATCAAGTGTAGACATGCCCTGGAGTAGTTAAAAAGATTAGAATTAGGACTCAAACCATGAAGTATAGATAGAATGAAATGTTAAAGGCTGATAATCAATTCCATACATCTTCTACACTCCACTGTGACTCTGCATTTCTCCAGGTAACACGGATGAACTTTGCTCTATCATTCAACCCCTTAGTTAGAATACCATGTACTTTTTCCTCATATATTCTCCAACATTCATTGTCTGAACAAAATCCCAATGCATATGCCTCCTTCTTTCCCTTTAAATTTATTCTATAATAGCAAACACAGAGAATTACCAATGAGCTTTAATAACAAAGCAATTAATCAAGAAACGATCCGGTAAACAAACCATTATCAATTGACAGAAGGGCTGCAGTGCAAAACTGTATTTTAATTTATCAAAAGTCCAACAGTTTAAACAAAAACAATTTTATGATACTAAAAGTGAATTGAAGTGAAATTCATAAAATTCAATCCATCCACCCATAACACAAACCAAAACTCAGGAAATTAAGACACTAAAGTCTATGTGACAAAACCCTTAGTGCCAATTTACGAAATTATTAAAGGAAATAGAATGCAGGCAGCCATAAACATAACTATCAAAGAATATCTGCTTTCTACTACTCTGAATTGAAATTTAACATCTAACACTAATTTTTTTCCTTTTTATTTTATAATGAATCCATTCAAAATTTTGCTAGCTGCGATATGTACCAGAGGAATAGGCACCAAAGCATGTGTTTTGTATAAAGAACAAATGATTATAGAAACGTCCAAGTAATTAAACCATACTTGAAATTCCAAGTCAAAATATAGAGCAAGGATATCCATTCAAATAATAATATCTAAGAGGCAAAGTCTTTCCCCAAATCAATATAAAATTATAAAACAATACTATATTACCTTATGCAGTAGTCGTATTTAGCAGCATAGTCAATCTTAGTCATAAAGATTTCCTCAAATCCACCATCTTTACATTTCTCCAGGCATTTAAGCGTCAAAGCAGCCTCATCTTGAAGCTAAATGTAGACATATAAAAGGACCATAGTTTAAGAATCAAAATGAGTATCACCAGTGGCAAAATTTAAAAAAATAAGACACACACACACAAGCTGGTTTCTGTTCTAGACATCCCGAAAAACACAGGCATAAAGTACCTCAGCAAAACCAATTCTAGATATCCGGAAAGCCAAATTGAATCTTCCAGATGGATTGCAAATGACAACTGGAAATGACTTTTTAAATTGAATCCTTTCCTGCAAATGGTAATCACAAGCACAATAACTTGTGAGTAATATTTCAAAAACTTTGTGGAGCCGACAGTAAAGAACTCAAATTGAAAAAGACAAAAATAAAAAGTTGACATGGGGAAAAAATTAACATCACTGCATGAACCCCCTCACGATCAAACCATCATGTATTAGATTAAAATATAATCATGAAACCTTCCGTTGAATTTCATTAGCCTTACACTGCATTATCGCAATATATTTTATTTATGTCAAAGTTTACACCATTTCAAGGTAATAAAATTAAAAATGTCAAAACAAATAGCCAACTGAACGAGAAATAAAAAATCATATCCAAAATTACTTTTCAAGCATAAACTAAACATTAAAAACAAATGGCTACACAGATATTTTTTGACCCAAAAAAAAAATTGCTACACAGATATTGAAGGGAGTATTCACCTCTTTAGTAATACTACTCTGGCCTTCCTGAGGAAAATAAAGGCCACGGCTCCACAACTCTGAATTGGCTGCAAAAGCAATAGTCATTATAAGTATCCATGCATAGTAACACACACGCACGCACACACACACACGCTCTTGCTCTCAAACCAATAACCCCAAATTGTTTATCTTGAAATTTAACCAACTAAAAAAACTTAGCAGACTCAACCCTCCAAAATTCATGCTACTTTCGTCATCAGCATAATAAACATAATATATTGTAACATTGCAACTATGTCAGTAACTTCATCCGGTTTAATAGCAAATAATATATATGGCAACAACAGGTAGTTTTCCCAATTCTTTGGGAGGAAAGGTAAAAGAAATTGTTGGCTTCAATTACAGATCAGGTATAAAGGGAGTGCTCAAAAATTGCTTTTCATGGCATTTTGTGGGAAACCGAGAAGCTTGTATCATCTTTAGGATAAACTATAGTGGTAACTGATTGTTACCCTATTATTGCAATCAAACGAACCATACTAACATCGGGAGATAGCACGTACCAGAACTCAACAATTTTGCTTTAGACAAACTTCTTTTTATACTATTGTGGCATTCATAGTAAAGTATAGTAATCTAATATATCAAATAGAGGGATAAACAAAAATCTCTGAACTGCCAAGGGAGAGAGTCTATATGCATACCAATAAAGTTCATGGTAACACGAAATATTTGGATTGCCTTCATTGACATGCTGATTTGCTGCCTTGTCAGAAGATATGCCAGAATAGCAGAGATCAAAAATCCACTTAGGCAATCATAAGCATATATTGAACTTCTCTGTTGAGCCCAAACCTAACCAACAAAAACCAGCAATTTATTCTGCCTCAACTTGTATATATTGGCCAAATATATGTATTAAATGTATTAAATATATTGATTGATGGAGAAGATTTTCACATATCAAACCTTGAGCAATGTTGAAGCCTCTCTTAGTTCCTTCCATCTAGAAAAACTTTTATCAATAAATTCGGTGTCCTCTAAAAACATATCTTCCAGAATACTACTATTGTATTTTGGTGTAGCCTCAAGAGCTGTACATTAACAGATAAAGATTAACAAAATTAAAAAGGAAAGATCAAATGAACAGCATAAATGCTAGTGCTTAAGGCACAAACCTTGATTAGGAGTATGAATGTTATTACGATTCAGGTTCAACCTTGATATGCTAAATAAAGACATTGCTGATGGAATTATTCTTATACAAACACCAGGAACTTCAGCAACCTTTGCAGCTGCAATGCCACTTTTTTTTATTAGCAAAATAATTGTATAGTATAAGATAGTTCACAACAGAACACCGCTGCTCTTTTTCACCAGTCAAGTCAATATCCTTTAAAGGAGATGAAAACAATATTGAAGTGCTGAAATGGAGCATAAACCTGGATGAATAATTAGTATAGGTTTTCTGGCTTCATTTTGCAGCGTAGACCACTCAACCTTATCAAAAGATGCAGAGGTATCCAAGTACTTTTTCAGCAAGCAAAGATACAGGCATCTCTTGGCATGGTATCTATAATTTAAGTAATCTTTCTCGTGGAAACTCTCCTGAGAAGATAGGGAAAACAGTTAGAAGGTACTGTCTCTTGCATTCTCTTTCTCACCCTCACGATGAGGTTGAATTCATTTTAATCGAAATTTTAAATTGTTCAGCTGTTTTATTGATATTTATATGATTATATTTCCTACAGCACTTTCTGCACTTTAGATGTCAAAATATTATAACTACCTTTCCTGCTCCATGACTTCAAATCATGTTTCGATTTATTCCTTTTCATGAAATCCAAATAGTCACCAAATCAAGAAAAAGGAAAGAAGTTAATCTTCTCATGGTCCTGTACAAGAGTTAAGAGGCTATGTGCTTCTATTTTGAGGACACACCCCATCCTTTGTGAGACTATCCTAGCAAACTTTTTCAATTCAACAAAAATAACTGCGATTTTGCAGTTGGCAGGGTTGACCCAAAATTGATATATTAAATTTTCTGACATTTGATTTTCTGAAATGCATGCTTTTAGAATCTAAGATGAGCTATTGTAGCATCGTTGCAAACTCTGCAGCTTAATAACAATTCAAAGCATGATACACAACCAGTGAGATTTATTGATCCCTTTTTTCTATAATGCCGAGTTAGAGAGTTCAAGCACATCAATTGAGTACCTTCGGCAACCTGATAATAAGGTCAACATTTACTCCGGGCTTTGCAAGAGTTTGCGTGGCATAACTGCCCCCGATTTTAATAGATGTAGGCTTCTTGAACTTGAACTCAACTTTATCGGCGCCTATGTCCCTCACAAAATTTGGAGCTGTATCGGCCGTTACCTGGAAAGTTGTTAATGATTTCGAACGTTGAGCTCAGTCAGTATGGCATTCTCGAAACTCCAGTAATGTAAGCTGCAACAGTTGCTTTCATTTCCTTGGTGATATACCAAATATCTCAACAAAGTACATCAAATTGAAGGACATGAGGAATCAATAACTTAAGAATATCCTTAGTTAATAATGAAGATACACGCATTTATAAAATACAACGCAGAGACAGACAGGCACACTGAAAGAGACAGGTAAAGAATAACCTTAACATCTTCCGGGATCTTATCGATGCATGCTTTGACGGCGGAGACAGTGTCATCAACGAACTTAGTGAATGGAGGAGAATAGTCTAGTTGAACCTCCTTCAATAGCTCTCTCACCTTCAAGTCCATAGAGTCCATAAGCGTAGCGTCGTCCATCGTTCCGTCAAATGATTTTTATTTGCAGGAGTCAGAGAATCTGTCTTAGAGAAGCGCCCGTACTCAGTGCTTTGGGGTTTAGGGTTTTTGGCAGAAGGATGGCGGGAGTCGGGAGGGACAGGCTCAAACGAAAACGGCGGGTTCTCTGTTTTGTGTTTTTATTTTTAGTGCGAAGTCATGTTCCCCACATATCTGTCAAGACAATCAAATGACACAGAGGCATCGGATGTTTTAAAGAAAGAAACCCTCCCACCAGATTGTAATCCGAAAATGGTAAAGTTAAATTGCTTTATTTAAAAGTCAAATTTGACAATTTCTGTTTAAAATTTAAATTTTTAGATTTACAAGTTTGCGTCATTTACAATAAACATGTAAAAAATTGAATTTCTATGAATTAGTGGTATTTAATTTTCTTATCTAGAAACTGCAGCTAATTTGTTTTTTTCTTTGGAAAACCAGGCTTTCCCAATCCAAGCATATGCTTTTATCAAAACGAAGTTCTCATTTTGGTAACTATTTCACGCAGTATATCAATGACAATTATTCATGCACTATATTAATGTCACCATTAAAATGCTGTCCAAATATTTTATACTTGACTGTCTTTTAAAATAGGTATTCATGCAAAAAAAAATTATATCAATATAATATATTGTGTAAAGATGGATATGGAATGAGCAGTGAACTTTTTTTTAAAAGAAAAAAAAAAGCTGATGGGAATTGTTAACTTTCTTGCCAGCAAAGTGAAATTGATGCCAGAGAAGGGGAGGTGATGATTGTCACGAAGAACAATACACAAAATACCAGGTCGCTTTAGGATAATTAGCCGTTTGACTGTGTGTTGCGTTAGTTGTTCATGCCTTTAGGGTGTAGGCTTCTACATATTCCAAATTACTTGGGTAAAACTAAACTATCGCATGACAGAATTATCACTGAGAGTCGTGGTTTGGTGCTTTTTAATGCCATCTGCCTCCCTTTGTTTATGAGTGGGCTTGGCCCACTTTGTTACCAGAGGAGTAAAACACAAAACTCATTCTGGGCTGCAAGATCCAGTAAAGCCTCACGAACCCATTGGACCCAGTGAAAGCCCAGATGATCAAGGTGGGAATGTAGATTGATCTTAAGATGTGTTTGGATGAAACCAAACCGTGGTTTGGAAAAGTGATTCTGGAGAATAGATTTTGGAAAGAATAAATGTTATGAAAAAGTGATTTTGAGAAGTGAGAGTGTTTGGATAGTTGTTATCAGAAGCACTTTTTATATATACAAATTACTAAAAAAAAGACATAAGTTAATATAATAATTACAGAAAAAATAGATTTTATGATATATTTTAATTTGAAGGAATAAAATTGTTAATAATATATTTTTTTATTAACATGATTAATAATACATAAGATAATATAATTAATAAATAATTAATATGTATATGTATTTATAAAATATAAGATTAAATATGTTTATAAAAAAATATGTTTATAAAAAAAATAACAAGATACATATCCTATAGGCTCTCACACTCTCCCTTTTTTCTCCAAAAGCAACAAAATTTTGTTTTTTCCAAAACCACGGTTTATGCAAATTGGGTGGGTGTTTGGGTGACTTATCACCCAAACGATGCCTTAATCTTTATTGAGGTGGGTGTGTGTGTGTGTGTTTATGTGCAGATTGATCTTAATCTTTATTGATATATACATTTGTGTGCGTGTGTGCGTTTATATGAAGCTTGCTCTCCCCACCTCAGGCTTAGATAGATTATGTTGCCGTTTATGCCATTCTTATTTAATTTTGTTGAGTGAGATTATTACGTCAATTCAAACCTGATATGTTCAATTTTAGCAACATCTGAACTCGTATTTTATTAGCGTCATATAACATACTACCTCTACTGCTAATTATAAGAATTAGTTGACTAATTTGAGGAGATTAAAAAATAAGTTAAGTTAGTTATTTATAATAAATAGGTGTTAACTTTCCTAAAATATCTTTACTAATTAAGTGTATTGGATAGAATTAACATTATTAGAAAGATCACATTGGAAAAAAATATATAAAGATGAAAGATAAATTAAATTAGGATCTTATATTTAGAATCAAAATAAAAATTAAAACAATATATTATATTAATGACCGGAAGTAGTACAATCACTGCGTGGGTGCCTTCTCCAGCTCCTGCAGCCAAAGCATTACATTATTTCCCTGGTCCATCTTTAAAACTCTTGCGGTCTGACAGGTGACTTCATTCTGAAACATCCAGAAATCAAGAGAAGAGAAGAAGAAATCGGGATTTCATGCAATTTCTCGATTGAATTATAACAGGTTCGTTCTGTAAGCCCCAATTCAAAAAAAAACAAAAAACAAAATACCTCTGAAGAGAATATCGCTGGAATGGCATGGCAAGTTTATGAGTCGAACCAAAAAGAACGACATGAACTCAGTCCCCGGGGGGGAAAAAAAGGAAAAAAAAAGAGAACCACATGAACAGGAAAGTTCAACACACGGCACTCGAATATTTTGGCCTGGGAAATTCCGAATTCGAAATCATGAGATTAAAAGAAAAAAAAAACAAAAAAGAAGAAAAGGAAATAAAGCAGGGAATATAGTCATGGTCCAAGTCTGAAATGATTAGCATGATGGAATTTCAGACATAGGCAAGAACGCAGAGTATAGATCTTCAGCTCGTGATCATCTGCAAAAGGGTCTCCAACAGGATTCCAGCCTTCTTGCTTCTTCAAATGGAGTTCTATCTGGAAATGAAAAGTTATCCCAGCTTTAATACGTACTCATAGTCAAACACGTTAATAAGGGGTGACAGAGTTTATGTTCAATTTTGTGTAGACGCTCCTTCAATCCTTAATTTAATACTACATCTGGTCCTTAATATATATAAGAGCTAGTTGACTGATTTAAGTAAATTGAAAAAACTAATTAAGTTAGTTATTTGTAATAAATATGCGTGATTTTTTCTAAAATATTTTTGTTAATTAAGTATACTGGATAGAACTACTATTATTATAAGAACTATCTTAAAAAATAGATAAATATGAGAGACAAAATAGATCAGAATCTTATATTTAAAACAAAATAAAAGTCAAATGAATTCTTATATAAAGAATCAAAAGTAGTACCTAGTTAACTAATTTTAGTATGTTAAAGATATTAGTTAAATTAACTAATATGATATGTTTTTTCTAAAATATCCTGATAATTTTCATTAATTCCTTAGTTAATAAGATTATTATTAAGAAAATATTAATATAACTAATTCAGAAAAAACTAATAAACACGTGCAATAAGACTTACATGTAGGACTAATATCAACTTTCAAATTAAACCTTATCAAGGACAGAAGAGTATATATTTATAGATATCACATATTTATACTTTCTTCCGTATAGCAATAAATTTAGAAGACGAATAAATTGATAGTTTACGTTTAGAATTAGAACAAACTATGCTACTCCATTTTCAGATGATCTCCGACTGCCTCTTCCTAGAGGACCGTGCGGAACTTGAATTAATGCAGGCCCGGGTTTAATGGAATGGAAGGCTCCTCTTCCCCCCGGTTTTCAATCAATAATCATGATTTTGCTGCATCTCTGGTGAAAACTGGGTCCCGACTAGAGCTGATAATACGGGTTGGGCCCGCGGGCCCAGCCCGCCAACCCGCCAAAAATGGCGGGCTCGGGTTGGCAAAATGCCAGCCCGCCAAGGTGCGGGCTACTCCAGCCCGCACCGTTTTCAGCCCGCTCCGCCGCGGGCTAGCCCGCCAGTTGGCGGGCTAGCCCGCTTTTTTTTTTTTTTTAAATTTTAATTTTTATATAATTTCTAATATGTTATACAACATAATTGGAGGATTTTAACCCCAAATTTCATATTTACATCTTCTCATCCATGTAATTGCATATGTAATACATACATAAAAGATCTACTTAATTAATTTGGATAAGAAAAATAGTCAAATTAATTATTTAGAAAAAAATATGTGTTAGTTTTTCTAAAATATCTTCTCAAATTATAAATTAATCCTCACATTATTTTATTATAACTCATTACTCAAGTTTAAAACTCCAAATCCAATTTTAACATTACAAATTAAGTCCAAACTTATACAAGTAATAATTTTTTTTTAAAAAAAAAAAAAGTTAGGCGGGCCGGCGGGCTAGCCCGCCAGCCCGCCTTGGCGGGCTCGGGCTGGCAAAATGCCAGCCCGCCAAAGTGCGGGCTACTTCAGCCCGCACCGCTTTTGGCCCGCACCGCTGCGGGCTGGCCCGTATCCGCACCGCCAGCCCGCATTCCCAGCTCTAGTCCCGACAAATCGTTAAGTGTTTGTCGCACGGGCCTTTCTCCGTGATATTTTTTACTCATGGGCTGTCCAAGTGTTAATGTATTGTATATCCTCTAATATCTCATATTGCATTATTAATATTCAAAATTCTACCGGCCTGTTGGCCTAGTGGTGTGGGTGTGTGCGTGATGCCGGTTCGATCCCGTTTCTTGTAACTCAAAAAAAAAGAAAAAATCAAAATTCTGTTTTAATCATTTGTTTCGGGTCCATGTAATAAAAACGACAACAGATGTGATTAGACCTTCAACGTACTCTTTTAGCTGTTTAAAGATGGCGATGGCACGCAAGGAATCCATTATGTACCGTTTAAAGTATATCCTGCTTAAAAACGACGATCAAACTTCAGTCTTTATATAAAGAGAACATGACTCGCTCTTTTTTTTTTTTTTTTAAAGGTTAAACAACTCCTTTGAAGTTGTGCGCTTTGATATTTTATTAAAGCATGCCCACAAATTGTTGGTGTTATAGTATTTTAGCAACTTTTATTCGAATTTTTTTCATCCAACAAGAAGTTACTATTAAGTTTTACTGTGAGATTTTCATGAAATAATCTACTTCATCAGACGATATGTGCTGTTGACCCAAAAAAATTCAAATGAAATATGTTAAAACGGTAACATGAGATTTATGTTTTTTTTTCTTTTTTGTAAAAAGGACAATATGGGCTTGCACTTTATACTGCCCTGCAAATTGTACATGACAAAGGAAACCAAACAAATAAATAATAAAAAAAAAGGAGCAAGAACAGTATTGTTGTTTATTTATTTATTTCAATGGGCCTAGAATATGTGCAGGTTTTAAGACATCCTTTGACCAAAAAGGTTAGACGTCCTCGGAGGAGACAAATAGAGGTTACAGTTGTTATGATCCTGACAACAACTCAACTTTCTTAGGCAGGACGGCTTATTAGAGGTTCCTCTTACAATTCATATCCCCACCTCGCCCTTTTCTAAATCTTGTTCCCCTCCTTCCCTCCTTTTACTCCTTTTCTCCTCTGTTCCTCCATACATTCCTCAAAAAGAATACTCCTACATTATATATCTTCATTATTACCACCTCCACTACAAAATCCCTAGACCAATCCTACCTACCCCAAAAGGGCCTTCTTCCACCACTGGATCAAATTTGAAACACCACCAACCCGGAAAAAAGAAAAAAAGAAAAAAGAAAAAGAAAACAAAAAATTAAATAGAAAGAGAGAGAGAGATCGCTAACCCCTAAGCGAGAGAACGACAGACATTCCAGTTGTATCTCGTTGCTTTTGAGGTACGTAATTTTATGCGTTCCCGAAGTTTATTTTTGTAATAACTGTCTTCACATTATTTTATTGGCATATAGATCATTTTATTTATTATTATAAAATAGTAAACACATTTGCATGCATGCATGCAAGCAAGCAGGTTGCCCCCACGACACCCACGTGGCATATCGGTTGATGATATTATTGATTATTATTATTTGATTATTTGATTATTTGTTTTGTTTTTGGTGGGATTAGACACAGGACGCTGCTCATACGACGATAGTAATCAATTTTCTCACGGCCTTTCATTGGAAAAGCGGAATGCTGTGTGGCAGTACAGCCGGGGTCCCACCAAATCCAACGAGCCACGTAACAGCCTGATGATGGACATTTTCATGTAAGACCGTGAAGAACTAACTGCGGTGCGGAGGCGGTGACCACTAATCACGCTACGCCCCGCGCACACGCGCACGCTCTCTCTCGTAATTCTGGGTTGGAATGGAATTATCATGATTAAGCAAATCCCAGAGTTTCCACTTCAAAGAAAAGCACTATCAGATTCTTCTAATAATGACGGAGTTGTTTCTGTTCGACAATTCTCCTTCGCTGAGCACGAGTGTGCGATCCACGCCCAAACCGGATGAAGGAACAGGGATGGGGGCAGCGTGGGAAGCACGCTGGGGCGGGGTCGCGTGAGGATAGGTGAGGGTAAATGACAATGTGACGCTTAGCGTCTTGGGCTAATCGCAGTTTTCGCTCGTAGTTTACAAGGCGAATAGAGGGCATCTTTTGGAAAGCGGTGGTCGTCCCGTTTGTCGAACGCAGGTTCATCAATCTCAAGACGATCTGATTCTCTCTTCTCTTCTCTCTCTTCGTGAGTGTTTTTTTGAATCTTTTGATCGAATGGGGTCGATACTCTCTCAGAGGACTTGCTCGGGCTCTGGCCTCTGATGAATCTGGGGTCGCTTTATGCCGGTTTTAAAAATTAAAAAAAAAATCAAAAAATAAATAGTCGGGGCTTTATCTTATAATAATTCATGTGACCTTTTTCTTTTGGTGGAAGAGTTTCTATCTTTGACCCGAAGCAATCTGGCTTATAGTAGGAACACACACTGACCCAAGAAGAGGGGGCAGGGCAAGGGTTGCTTTGATGACTGCAGAGGATCACGTTGACGATACTTTATCCCTCCCTCTCTCTTGCCCTTTAACTTTTTCTTAAAAATTAAAAATGAGGGGGAAAATATTGGGCATTGCATATTAGGAATATATTTGTACATGGTGTGGCTAGGAGAGAAGGGCAAAGTGGGAGTAGGAATTGTAAAAGAAAAAGATATTATGGTGTGGTTGATGGATGTTAGATTCGGAGGCACGAGGGAGGTATGATGACGAAGTTGGCTTTGTTTTGGTTCACGTGATTCGCACGGTACGGCCATCCAGTGATGGGGGTCGTCCAAAAACTGATCGCTTGTTGACGCAGAGATTTGACGGATTGGACGGCCTATAACAACTAACGGCGTAGAGCTGTTTTAGTTTTGGAGAGGGGTGGTAATTGCTCTGTTGAAATTCACATCTTCTAACCAGCTGCATGTTTCCATATCCTCGCTCCACTTCACAAGAGTGTGTGATAGTGATACTGAGAGGCAGTATTTATATGAAAACTAAATTATAATTTTAAAAATATTGTTACGGTTTACGAAATAAATATATAAAAGAGTTTATCTCATTTTATAAAAAAATAAAGGTTGCCAAACACTCCCCAAATAAAAAACCCCTTGATTCTCCACATCACATGTCTTGTTTAGTCATGGCTCTAACATTGAAACTAAAATGAAGCCTAATTTACTAAAGCATAATGCTGAATGTCCATTATACTCCTATGATATAAAATAATTATATCTATGAAACATGGGTAGAAAATGGGGGAGGGGAATAGTTTGGGATTAGCAAGGGGATTGAAATTAAATGGAGTACTAGCATGGATGGAGGATTTGATATTGGGATTGGAGCGTGTGGGAGAAGAGGGAAGGGAGGGGAGCGTGAGGAGGGAAGTATTCCATTTTGCTTGGGAGGGTGGCAGTGGCAGTGGCAGAGGCAGATACGGATACGGACAGAGGTTTTGATGTGTTGGGTTTGAGACTCATAAAGCCTCGTGATCGGAGAAGGCAGATCCATGGAAGACTGTTCCCCCGAGTCACGTGGCCTCTTTTGACTACCCCAATGACCAAAACCCATCTCTTCCTTCCATTCAATTCTACTATTATTTGCTTCAAATAATTTACTCCCACTCACAAAAAGATAGAAACTGAAAATACTCCCTCTGCATGCACTCAGCCCCCCCTCCCTCATGTAGTGTATTGGGTCCCTTATCTGTCCACGTCTTTATGGCCTCTCCCTCCTCCCACCCACCCCCTCTCTATATAAACACGTATGGACATCTCTCACTTGGCGATTAACGACAACGTGGACTGCAGCTGCTGACTGGTATTTCGCCATTTTATTAGCTTTTAAAGCTAACGGACAACTTCCCCTTCTCATTGTACCACTCAGCTCTTTCTTCCAAGCCCCCTCCCTCTCATTTCAACCGTTTTATTATTGCCACTACTCACTCGCTCCCTACTCTCCTGCTTGTACTTCTCTGCTCTCTTCCCTTCAAATCTACACACTCATCATCATTTTCTCTTTCTCTCTCTTTCCCTGTGCTTATTAAGTTTCTTTCGCCGTTCATCTTCACCTTCAAATCGGAACCTTGAAATTTCGAGGTGGGTGAGTGTGGAGGGTATTTTTCCTTGAAACTGCGAGAGCTAAGGCAAATATGATGCACCGTTGCTGTAGCTCCCAGGGGCACGTGATGGGACCCTGTACGTGTGGTATGATTCACGGCCAAACCAATTCCTTCTCCATGCTCTTCTCTATGCCCAACCACAAATCCTATGGTGATTGCGACATGTATTCTTTCCCTTCCTCTCCTTCCTCTTCTGTTGACTGCACCCTCTCTCTGGGTACCCCGTCTACCCGTTTATCTGAAGACGAAGAAAAACACAGCCGCCATGCCCGTCGTTCTGTTTCCAACTTCTGCTGGGATCTATTACAATCCAAACACACCTCGGAATCCCACACTAAGTCCAGTCGTGGCAGCAATACTGGTAACTCCTCCAACAATGATCCCCTACTCGCTCGTCGTTGTGCTAACTGCGACACCACTTCCACTCCCCTCTGGAGAAACGGCCCTCGAGGCCCCAAGGTAATTATCCAATTCTCTGTTACATATTTCTGAGTCAGACAGATACTCGTCGTGTACTTAAAAATTTATTCATGTGGAGTGTTGATCATCAGCATCTATTAGACGCTACGATTCAACTGCTGTCCATATTGTAGAGTGTCATGAATCTGTGTGTTTGTTCTTAGCGTTGAACACTGAATGAATGGTGTTACATGAATTGCAGTCACTATGCAATGCCTGCGGGATTAGATTCAAGAAGGAAGAGAGAAGGGCGGGTGCTGTAGCCGCCACGACGGCGGCCAACTCAGGCGGCGTCATGGAGACGGCGCAGATGTTTTCCGGACACCACAACACTTCTTCATGGTACGCGCAGTCTCAGAGCCAGAAAATGCAGTGCCTCTCTCCGGGGATGGGCAGCGAGCTTCGCTTCGTGGACGACGCCGACCGTGACGCCGAGCGCGGCATTCCGTTTCTCTCTTGGAGACTCAACGTTACGGACAGACCGAGCCTCGTTCATGATTTTACGAGATGAAACGTTGGGAAAATGATGTTTTGATAATAGAAACGACAAGAGGAGGTATTTAGCGAGTCCGACGGTCAAGATGACGCAGTTATACTTCACGTTTTACGATGATAATGCAGATGTTCTTGATGGCGATGGTTATGGTCTCCTCGCGTCAATATTATAGATTTATCTTTTTTCTTTCCGGCGTTAATGTCTTTGACCTTTTCCTTTTTGTTCTCTTCCTTTTCTCCGCCTTGCCTGAGATGGAGTAGCAAGAATGGGATAATCCTATGTTCTAAGTTTGCTTTTTCTCATGAGCTTATTCTTTTAACTTTCTCTTTCAGTTACGAAAACCCACCTTTCTGTTGGTTCACTTTTTCTCTGGGGAGTGAATAAATAAATGGTGGTAACAATGATCAAATATGAACCGTTGGATCACTTTCGTTGCTCCTTGGTATCGTACTATCGTAATAACACGGCCCTCTTTTCAGGGGTACTGATAATAATAATAATTTCCTGAAAAGAGAAGAAACTACAAGTTAAAAGCTTGAGTCTGAGACTTAATGATAGCTGTTTTCATTTTACTGAATTCCACAAGGCAGATGCAGCGAGTATGGAGAGAACAGGGAGGTGTACAGACTGATGCAATTAAACCAGTTGATGCAATTCTGATGGTCCAATTGTTGGATCACTGTTCAGTCTGAACCGGACACTGCGGTTCAGAACAGTGAAACTGATATGTCTTTTTGAGTTTTTTTTTTTTTGACCGCATCCGATCTAGCCATCCAATGGAGCTCGCGTACGTCGTGCTGACTGGGAACTTTTCTTAACTTTTATCCTGATGGAATATTTTAATTGGGTCACTTGGAAATGTTCCCTCCTCGATGGCTAATTCCCTGCTGGGAATTTTTTAATTACATGGCACCAACTTAAAAGACATCAGTAGCTATTTAATGATTATACACGTACAAAGGAGACGCAGAGTAAGTGATCGAGACCTTCATGACAAAATGCTTGGGGATGCAGTATATAGAGGTTTTGTGACATAAACGAGAATAAGGAATCTGTTGCGTCTGAGATAACGTTGGTTCAGACATTGTCATAGCCGTTGACGAAATATATATATACTACCTCCGATCCTAATTATAAGATCCAGTTGACTCATTTGAGAAGATTAAAAAAATAAGTTGAGTTAGTTATTTGTCCTAAATAGGTGTTGTCTTTCCTAAAATATCCTTATTAATCAAATGTATTGACTAGAACTATCATTGTTAGAAGGGCTATTTTGGAAAAAAATATATAAATATGAGAGACAGAGTGGATTGGGGTCTTATATTTAGGATTTAAATAAAAGTCAAATAGAGTGTTATATTAAAGATCGGAGGTAGTATGAGGTTGCTCCTTTCCCATAATCATGTTTATGCTAAATTAGGTGGAATCAGTCTTGACAGGGCTAATAATGAAGGTTATATTAGAGAAAATTGTTTCGTCGAGTTGTAAACGCGATCGATAAAAAAAAAAAAAAAATCTCCACCTATACAATGCCACATCAAGTGCCAAGAACTCTTTTTTATAAACTCAAAAACCCTATCTTAACAGTTAACAACAATAGTTGATTGATTTTATCTTTGTATTTTAAATTTTAAATGGATCCATGTGTGAGCGTGTATATTGGTTTTTTTAAAATATAAATGACTATATTGATGGTTTTTCTTGTTTGATCGATAAGTGCAAAATATAACACACACACATAAGTACAGTGCGATGCATGGGAATATTCAAGTCAGCAATAAAATGCATATATGGATAATCACGCTTGTTTTAATTTATTGAAACAAAATGAAATATTTGAAGTGAACTTAACTGTTTAGATCACCGAATAGAAAAGGAAAACAATGTGCCTGGAGGCAAATAAATGTTTCAAAATGTTTTGAAAATTAAAGTTGACAGAAACTATTTTTTTTCTGTTTAATTTCCTCATAATAGAACAGCCTAAACTTTATCGTCCTTGACGGGTAAAATAAAGGGACACTATTCAACAGAGAAAAGCTGTTATTTCATTAGAGCTTTTAAAGGCACAAATCCATGGCAAAGGCCAAAGGATCGAACCAAAGTGTGAGGACGAATCAAACGCCTTCGAAGGGACGCAATCCCCAGATCTATCACTCGACAAAAAGCAGCCTGATCTGCCCAAGGAAGCTCCAACCACTTCAAACAGAACCCGGAGACTAAAGTCGCCACTTATCAGTCCTAACGTCTTTGAATTGACTGGTCAATTTTCAAGAATTCCATTTACGATTTGTTTTGCTACCAGCCCAAATTTATAATTTTCCAGGAGAGAGATGTGTCTAGCAATTATTTGACCTGGGTAACTACCAAATTTTAAACTATTGAATTGGATCCAACTGTCCACAGTTGCAATGGTCTCTCGTACGTGTTAATGAAGAAATTAAAAGTCATTTTTGACAATACCCGTGACTTATTATTAAAACGCGCGGAAACGATTTCTTTTCATTTAATGGAAAAATCCCTGTAACTGCAAACGTTTGAATTAAATTCAATCTTTCAAATTTAATACTACTCTGATTATAAATATAAGACCATTTTTATAGTGTAGGACTAGAATAGTAGTTTATAAAACTAGAAATTATTCTATATTTTGTAAATTTAATTTAAACAGTTTAGAATTGCAGCGGCCATAGCAAACGGAAATATAATGAAGAAAATCCAAAGTTGGTGCGAGGTCTCATTCCTTGATTATCTATGAACAGGCTAAAACTATCACGCTTCCTTTTAATTATTCCATTACAACTCAATAAAAGACCTTCTTTTTATCATGTGATTGCAACTTCCAATCCAAAAAAAAAAAAACAAAGAAAGAAACATAACTTGACATTTTGGTGGCATCGTCGTCCAATTAATTAATATTCCATTCAATTCACGACCAGCTCTAAAAACACATCCTTAAAAAATAAAATAAAATAAAATACATTATCGGCCATGAACAGGGTGGCGGCCATGACCTTCTCTTATTTCCGGGACAATAAGCCAGGGTCCGCCACAAAACAACTCAATAACTCTGCTCTTATATATATATATTATTCACATTTTTATGACTTCCTTCAACTATGACTTCCTTCAACTACTTGCTCCTAAGTCCTAAGTACCAATAATTCATATGCATATAGTATAAGGTTAATAATAGCCCGTGTGACAAGTGGCTTTTCCGGGGATGTGCTTATGGTTAACCAAACATTGAGACGATCGCGTTGGGCTCGGCCAGCACTGGGCCAGGGTAGGGTCCTTTGACCAACTGGAGCAGAAAACATGAAACAGTGGCCCCATTTCTGCACCGCGATTTGTACAGATTATTTACGAAGGAGTGATAATGACGTCACATCTACCGGAGGGCAAAATCTTTGGGGTAGAAAATTAGGTTCTTGAGAATTGAATGTGGATGCATCTATCCAAGCTAATCTTGAAAATAAATGAAGAAAGCATGTCCTTGGTCAAGACCATACACATGTACGTATGTGTGTATATTTTGTGTATATTTCTGCATGCAGATGGTCATTCCATTTCCTGGCGTTCAATAAATACCGCCTAATTAAATGTTCCCGAATTCTCTGCGACGACGTCATTTTCTAACGACTCTAACCCGTTTGGGTGTCCAGGCTCATCTCCATAAATCACCGCACAGTCAGGTCCCAGTACGTCTCAGACTATAAATAAAGACACGAGAAGTGTGTAGAAAGTAGAAAATGCTCTTTTTATGAGTCAATATTTTCCTATTTTATCCATCTAACCTCCACTCTAATTAATCAATGCCCAGCAGAAGTCAACAAAGCATACATATCACGTTGAAATTTATGAACCCTATCACAATCATCCGATGAACGCTGCCTGAATTTCCTCCAGAGTTTTTTCCTTGGTCTCAGGAACCCAGAGCTTGACAAAAGCCACCGCAAAGAAGGAGAACACTGCGTAAATGGCGAATGTCCCTGTTGGATGGCAAGCAGACTGTATGTTATATATATATATATATATATATATATATATATTTCCAAGTCATTATGAGTCATATATACACACACTACCGACTGACCTGCACTGCTCCAGCTCAGGAGCAAGTTGGTGGTCATGGTGATCCCCCACGCAGTGAACCAGTTTAAAAATGTGGCCAAGCTTCCTGCAAGGCCCTTAATATCTGGCGGAAGTATCTGCATTTTAAATCCCCATTTACTTACAAATCAATCCAATATTCTATTATTCTTGAAATCCACTTGAGCCTACATGTGTGTTTAATTTGCATACCTCAGACATCAGAAGCCAGGGAAGTGGTCCCATGCCCAGAGAATATCCAATGCCCATAGTCTAAAACAACAAGTACAAAAGAGTAATTATTCATGAAATAACTTCAAGCACGCAATGATGTTGAACCATATGTGTATAAATGATAAAAATCATACCACCACCCCTCCAGCGCTGAGTACCCCCAAAACTTTTTGTAGGTCAGAATCGTTTGATATGACCCCCTGAAAGCAATCAAAACGATTTTGAATCAGTGCTAATTAAACTCATGAATCATGATATCAGCTCGTGATTTCTGAATTACCAACCTCCATAAAGAATGCTGCAGAAATAACCACGAGGCTAAGTGTCATCAGACAGGATGATGCCTGCGGAAAGTTTTTCATGTTCATATATAAATTTTGATGCATAGTATTTTATTTGCTGAAAACGATGTTAATTTGCATAATATACTCACTATCAGAAGCACCCTCCGTCCAGTTTTGTCCACCAGCCAAACAGTGACCCCGGACATCACCACCTGCACATTTAAGAATTTACAATGATATTTGAATTTAAAGGAAAGTCCTGACTTAATCCCTATTGAATAGAACGCTTTCTATCTTGTCATTTACAGAACATTCTCGTCTTAAATTTAGTCTTTCACTCATTAAAAATGCTTTTATTATTATCATAACTTACGTGACAAAACTAAAAATATGCTTATCTTCTATCAAAACTAAAAGAGGGTTCCCTCTGGAATTTACTATTATAGTTCATTAGAAAACAGCTGGCTATCAAGTTGACAAGTTCAATACTTCAGAATTAAGCTTCTGACCTGGACAACTCCAAATCCAAACGTAACAGCATCACTGGATGTAATCCCTAGCATGCCATGGAAATTACAGACAAAGTGATCAGAAGATTATATATCTCAAACAATTGGCAGATTATGGTGAAGTAGTTCTTTACCTGCAGTTGCAAAGATCTTGCTAGAATAGAAGAAAACTCCAGTCATACCAGTCAATTGCTGAAGCACGAGCAATCCGACCCCTACCTGCAAAAACTCTGATATTCTTTGGGACTAGCCAAACAAGGAAAATAGCAAGTGGAACAAGAAAGGATCAGACCGTTAAAGGAAACCAATATCTCCTTCTCTTAAGATCTGCTAACTGGACTGTTTCTGTTTTGTCCGTTGACAACAAGGATTCCTGTCCCAAGAATATGTTTCAGTAAAGTGTCTCTGTCTCTAATCCCCAAGTTTATATTTGAAGTTTCTAACAGAATCGGGGCAAACAGCGGGGTACCTCGATTTCTCGGGCTTCCATTGTAATATCAGCTTGAGGTCCTCGAAGAACTTGTAAAGAAGCCTCGAACTTTTCTTTCATCCCCATTCCGGCCTGGAAACCCCAAGTAAAAGAAACTCAGAAAGAGGTGAAGTGAAGATGTAGCAAAATTAGTCGTATATATGGGCATTAAAACATTTTGCTTGATGCATACCAACCATCTAGGAGATTCTGGAATGAACAATAACCCAGGCATCAAAATAGCACAAGGCAAACCTCCTGCACAGAATTGGATGAATGGTTCACTATATTTCTCTTCTTGTTACTGAAATTTAGTTATCAATCAATTCATCTTTCAGAATAGTTAAGGACTTACCAAGAGCTGCTAGCACTCTCCAATTGACAAAAAGCCCCAGGAGGTAAGTTATCATTATTCCTATCTGAATTGAAAGCTAAAAGAGGGAAAAACAATATACGGAGATCTGAAAATCAATCATTTGTTAACGAACAATTATAAGACTCAATTCAAATTAAAGCAGCATGGAAATGGAACCAACCTGGTTCACAGATCCAAGGCTACCTCTCATGGTTCGAGGTGATACCTCTGCTATATAAACAGGCACCTAAAAAATTATTCCCAATTTATGAACCAGAAAAACCAAAGAAAGCAGCCAAAGTGGACATATACATATATATAGGTCGGGTTCAATGGCTTATGGAGATTACCACATAAGATATTATTCCCACCCCAAATCCTTCCAATAATCTTCCCAGTAATAGAAGCGATGATTCCTACAAATTCAGGGGACGTTTTCTATCATTAGAAGGTAACAAAGTTTCAAAGGGCACGAGCAGTGGCAGAGTTGCTATTTGACCACTCATACTTACACTGGCCATAGAAATGGCTAGCCATCCTATAACATTTGGGATTGCTGCTATCATTAGGGACTGCATAATCATATCAGCAAAGCCAAAACAACACTGATTAGTTTATAACGGGGACGACTTAAACTTTATTGGGATTCAGATTTGTTTTTAGGCGTCAGATTTATATTAACATGTATCTCAGCTTCTGAAACGTACAAGGGTCTAGCACTTCCAAAAGTGAGAATGCTTTAACAACTCCTTGTGTGTACACATATATATGAGATTTTTATAAATGCTCTATCTAGGTGGTCCATTATTTTCCATTTCTACCCATATCAACCTCAAAGTTACATATAGAAGAGTATGATACCCCTTTACGCCCATAGTAATCTGCTATTTGACCACTAGCTGTTGCTCCCACCATGGCACCAACGTTCGACAGTGATCCAAATGTGGAGAACTGTTCTCATCATTATATTCATCTAAAGTGAATCAAGTAATTAAAGAACAAAGAAACAAAAATGGCCAAAACTGGGTCAAATAATTCAAAGAAGAGAATAATCAGACCCTTGAAATTGAGAGATTAAGATCTCTAATTATATTCACTTGAGTCGGAGAAGAATACGCGCACTGCACGAATATATATCATGACAGCGACACGAGTCAGTCAATATTTCAAGCATCAACGTAAAACATGTAAACGACGTCGCACGCAACGAGATAGTGGTGTGAAGATGAAGCACCGTGACACCAAACTGGAAAGGACCCAACGCGACGATGAGGACGCAGACCAAAACAAAGAGAGAGCTTTCTCGAGCATTGTCTGATCCCAGGAATGGCTTCCTCACGCTCGCGCTGTTCTCCACATCGTTCCTTGCATTCATTATTGCTTCTTACGTCGCAGTATCCGTAGGTTCTCGTCAATAATAATAGTAATAATATGAGATGATTAAACAGATATATTGGATTCTATGAGGTTGGGAAAAGGGAAAGAAAAGGATGTGAGATGCTTTATATAGGAGAAGCTTATGTGTTCCATGAGTGAACCAAGGTGCCTCCAAATGAGGGTGTCTGGGTCTCGGAGACTTGTCCGCGTCATTTGGACGTGCGAGAAAAATAAGGTGATCCTGATCCTTTGGTCGCGTCCGTTGCCTGGCTCATGATGGTTAATTCAACACCCCGAGGTCATACCTATAGGAAGCGCTGAACGTCCAGGAGACTGTGGGGCCCAAATAAATATAGGCCTCTGAATATATAAGAAAAGAAATATACTCCTCCGATCCTTAATATAGGACCCAATTGTTGAATTGATTTTGGTTTTAAATATAAGACTCGTTTATCATATTTATCAATTTTCTCTAAATTACCCCTATGGATACTCCTTCAACAATAATCAAATAGAAAAGGAAGATGGGGTATTAAGAAAAATGATTATGATATTTTAGAAAAAACATGTCACATTTCTTATAATTAACTAACTTACCTAACTTCTTTAATATAATCAAATTAGTTAAATAAGTCTTATATTAAGAACTGGAAGAGTACATTATAAAGAGAAACTACACGAAAAGATTAATTGTTCTTTTAAAACACACTGTTTATAAAGTATCATTAATACTAACAAGACTTTAAACGGTTACTAGAGTTAAAAATGTTTATTTTTCAGTTAATTTTTTGAAATCCCGTCTAAAATTAACTATTTTATAAGTTAAGATGAAATGAACTGGCTATATTATTGAGAGTGAAAGCTCATAATTATTTCATTTGAAGACTTCGATTTTTTTTTTTCCAGACAAGATTTTGATACATTTTGCAACTTTGAAAATTAGAATGATATGAAAACTAATTAATTATAACACACTAGGCTTTTCAATAAATTTTGCCTAAAAATTTCTTGACACGATCTCAATTACAAACTATTCAAGAAGCCTGTCAAGTTATAGATCATCCCTAGACACATCATTTAAATATGTAAAAATGTAATTGAAAAAATGTAAACCATCGAGGAAATTATTATTCATGTATATCTACTGAAATGCTATGAATTGGTATTCTACACATTTATCCCCCCATATCCTCTAACCTCTATAAATCTGACGCAAAAACAATCCAACTCAGGGACTGAAACTTCTATGTTCATCATATTATGTCAGCGACTATGCTCAGAGGATCATGATAAAAGTTGAATGTCAGCAATTAATGATCTCAACAGATTGCTTTCTTTATTTGCCAACCAAAAAGTGACACATATATTTTGAATTTAGATCTAACTCAACTCATGCAGTTAAAAAATAATACAGAAACTATTACATAGTAGTTTAATTAATAAAACAACTTAGATATCAGGTATATCGGTTCATTTAAACAAGTGCTCTTCAAACCAAATCATCGAAAGGATGCCTGAATTTCTTCCAAAGTTCTTCCTTTTGTCTCAGGGACCCAAATTGCTACAAAAACAATGGTGAAGGCAGATACTACCGCGTAGATTGTGAATGTTCCTGTGGACGGTCAATTCATCATTTTATTAATAGGCACATATGACACAACATGCAAGAATGTGCATAACAGATTTATGGTATAGGCTGGCCTGGACCATGCAGCGAGCAAGGATCCTAAGAGTCAATGACACAATTGTTATTCCATTCTGTTAACGATTCCCTCTTATATCTCATCAGACATCCTAACAATAGTATGGCACTTGTGGTTCCACCTCTTGACTTCCATTTCATTCCATTACCCCATATACTCCCAGACATATAGGTATTATGTTGTGCATATACATGCAATGGCCATCATAGTTTTCACAATGCCACTAGTGGTCCTAAAAGAACAAAAAAATTCTTGACATTGCATGTACATGCACAACATGCACATAATACCCCAAGAATTCTTACTGAGCCAGCAATAGGTGATTACTCTTGCCCAGTAAGGAGAAGGAAAAAGAAGTGAACACAGACACAGAGAGAGAGAGAGAGAGAGAGAGAGACCTCCACTGCTCCAAGATAAAAGCAAGTTTGCACTCATTGTGATTGCCCAAGAAGTAAACCAATTCAACAAGGTGGCTACACTGCCAGCTAGGCCTTTTATATTCACTGGAAGTATCTGAAAATGATTTAGAAATGAATTACTCCAAACGTATACAATAAACAATTACATATGTATCCAGATGTCTAAGGGCTTACAAGGGACATAACGCCTTAAGAAACAAGAATACACAAGGGAATCCATAGACATTTTCCGAATAAGGAATTAACTACTTCCTCTCATTTAATGTAGTAAGTGAAATATAAACTTTGAATACCTCAGACATTATAAGCCAAGGAATTGGTCCAAGTCCTAGAGAGAAGCCAGCCACCATTGCCTAGAGAAAAACAGTTGATTGAACTGATGAGTAATTATAATACTTCAACGCATGGGAAGAAGGACATTAGACCCATCCCACATAACATACCACGAGCCCAACCACAGAGATTATTCCCAAAATGCTGTATAGATGAGAATCCTTTGATACGACTCCCTGTATTAATAAAGATAGAACCAGTTATAAAGAGAACAGTGCTCCTAACAGTGGACCAAGCTAGTGCCATTACCAAGCACTAACCTCCCAATAGAACGCTACAGCAACAAGGACGAGGCTAAATGTCATTAAAGAGGAGGATATCTGCAGAAGCAATAACAGATTTCAGAATTTTCAAATTCCATGTTCATAATCTAAAATAATATTTGCCCATAATTTCTTTTCTGGAAATTTCGTTGTCCTTAATACATACTATCAAGAGAACCCTCCGGCCAGTTTTGTCCACCAACCAAGTTGCGATTGCAGTCACAAAAACCTGGAAAAGAAAGTTGACAATGAGAGCTGAATTTACTATTTTGATATTCACATTAATTTTACGCATAGTGGCCAACCTGACAAGCTCCAAGACCTACTGTAGCAGCCTTGCTGGATGAAATTCCTGGCACAAGAAGGAAGTTGAATTTCAAAAAGAGCATTTCATAATTTTGGAGCCACAACAACTGTTATCTAATGTTATATTAGTTTTTCATCGCTGAGTGCTGAAGCTTGACCGAATAAGAAATTTAGATAAGACAGCGGAACTAACCCCCATCTTCATATCCCATACACTCAAAGCCAACAACACAGCCAAAGTTCGGGGTCATTAAATTTTTAAAAACATCACTATGATATGGAAAGAGCGATGAGACTCATGGGAGGACAACAGGAAAATGGATATTATGCCAATTTGGAGTACAAGTCAACAGATATCTCATCCAAAGTCATCCAAAGCCATGTTGTAGCATGTTAAGCGTAAGAATTTTGAGGATTGTAAACTCCTCTTCATCCTGAAAAAATATTTAACGTCAACCCCAACCCTCCAACCCCCTATATCTAAACCCCCACCCCTTTTTTAAAAAAGAAAGGAAATAAAAAAAATGAAAACATAAAATATATGAGAAAGCAAATTCAATAACTAACAGCTGATTAGTAAATCTAACCTGCATCCGAAAAGATGGTACTTGAATAGAACAAAACTCCATTAATACCACTGATTTGCTGGAGCACAAGCAATCCAATTCCTATCTGCAGTCACTTTATTACCCTCAGGTTTAGGTTTCTCAAACTCTCATATAAATAAATAATAATAGGCCAAACTAAACTAGGAAACATAGGGGGAACACAATTAGGATGAATTATAGCATACCATCAAAGGAAACCAATATCTTTTTCTCTTAAGATCTGCGAATCGAATGGTAGTTCGTTTTCCTGTTGATGCCACAGATCGCTGTAAAGAAGATAGTTTAGCAGCACTTGGTTCTCAGTGCAGATACAAGACACTTAAACCACACCTCACCTACACTTATCGTCATGCATCTCTTGGCATAGCATCAAAGCTGTTATGCTACTTTAGGTGGCAAAATGAGTTAAATACCTTAATTTCATGTACTTCAACAGAAATATCAGTGTCAAATCCTCGTAAAACTTGCAATGAAGTCTCAAACTCTTCTGTCATTCCCATCTTGGCCTGGATTTTCCAAAACCCCCCCCCCCCAAAAAAAAGGGGGAAAAAAAAGCAAGCCCGACAAAAAGAAAAGACCAGGAGAGAAAACAGAGAAAGATATAAATCAGCTGTGGGAAAGGTACAGATATTCAATCAGCACCAAACTAACTACACGGCATATGATTTATACCAGCCATCTAGGAGATTCTGGTATAAAGAATAACCCAGGAATTAGCACTGTACATGGTAGAATTCCTGCAAAGGGAAAGAACATGCTCACTGTTATAATTTAGGTCCTAGAAATAATGATGATATCAACTATGCATCAATGTTTTGAAGCACTTGTCGCTGAACATTCTGTCAACTGTTGTCAAATATGCATGGAACTTCAAGAGATTCAAAACAGTTAGCATGCTTTAGTAACAAGGAATTTACCTAGAACTGCAAGCACTCTCCAGTTGACAAAAAGGCCCAGCAGATAAGCCAGCAGTATTCCAATTGTAACAGAGAGCTGAGCAAACAAAAGACAGATGTTAAAAATAGCATTTCAAATAGGATAGTGGAGCAGATGAAGGTGGGATTAAGAAGCAACATTAAGCAGCCAACCTGATTCACAGATCCGAGGCCGCCTCTCATGTTTTGAGGTGATATCTCAGCAATATAAACAGGCACCTTGAGAAAAGAAAGACAGGCTATTTTCATTTAGAATTTCTCCTATTGATCTCAGCATATAAGAAAAGAAAACATGGCTATCAAGATTACCACGTAAGAAATTATCCCAACGCCAAATCCTTCCAATAATCGCCCCATGAATAAAAAAGATGAGTCCTATAGAATCAGCAATGCAAAAGATAAGGTTGTAAACTAGATAAAGAACGAACAGGGGTATCAAATCAGAGTTTCTGTGCTATCGCTTACTTTGGCGAAAGAAATGGCAAGCCATCCTATTATGTTAGGGACTGCGGCAACCATTAGTGACTGCAATTCAAACACGGGCGTCACGCATAGCAGTCGTAGGTAGCCTTGCAAGAGTAAATAGAGCCAAAAATCATTATACCCCTTTACGCCCTATGTACTCCGACATTTGACCGCTGGTTATTGCTCCCACCATCGCCCCCACGTTTGATAAAGACCCGAACAGAGAAAACTGTAATCGATAATATATCCAGCAAGAGAATTATAAGCATGAAATTTAAAACATCATCCAATTAGATTCATTAACAAATGCAGTCAAACCTCCGAAACTGAGAGTTTCAGATCGCTGGTTATGCTCTCTTGAGTAGGAGAAGAGTACCCACACTGATAAAACCATATAATCAGTAATCACGGGGGGACAAGGAAATCAATAATAGCTTTCTGTGATTATCAAGACGAGATACAATAAAATTGGCTACAGATAAAGTACCGTAAAACCAAATTGAATAGGACCCAAGGCGGCGATGAGTACGCAAAAGAGAACAGAGATAGAGCCATCTCGTATGGCCTGAGATGAGGAGCCCATGATGCTGGACTGCCTCGAGCCCATCCTGTACCAGCTTCCAGTTTGGAGGAAGGGCTTCCTAAGATCCCTCCCATCTTCGTTGTCGTCTCTGAAGCTCATTGCCGCAATCCCAGAACCTCAAGCGAAGTCGAAGTGTTGTGGGTTGAACTTGAGTGGTAATTTTCCAAACAGGCGGATCGATTTTGCCGTCCAGATGATGAGTGATAGATAAAGCGTAATTCTGCGGAAATTATGAAGTATTGGGCGGACAGGGAGACAGCGTTATTGAAGTGGTTATTGATTTTTTGTACTTCCCAAGGATTTCAGTAATTAATTCTACCAACTCCAGCCAGACTCTTTCGCCGTCAAAATTAAGTCAGACCGGATTTCAGACTCGTTATCAATCCTGGAGTTTCCAGCGTCCACCATTCATACTACTTCCGTTCTATTATTGTACTTGAATTATTTCGACTGAATTTGCTTAGAGAGTGAAGTTTTTTCACATTACCGTAGTGTTTATCATTTTATTTAAATAATTAAATTCACTTTTTTATCTTAAAGAATTGAACTTCTCCTCACTCGGATCAATAAACTATGATGTCTTGGCCGGAAAACCTTTGAAACACTATCTTACCGCAATAATGTTTTACGCAGATATTCTCCTGGCTTCTCGATTAACATGCTCTCACTAGACAGAGAATTTACGTACGCAGCAGATGCGATTTCGAAACTGAACCCGGCAAACAGGATTATTAGAATATTTGTGAGATAAATTGAATTCAAGCTTCATGAGGTAAGGGTTAAAAAATAAAAATTGACCTGTTTTCAGATTTCTAAATTTAATATTTTGATAATTAATGCTATTAAATTAGTTTTTAAATAAAAAAGTTGTTGAAATAATATTAATAATCACACAAAAAAGTGGGGCAGATCTTACCAGGACGATCTTAGACACTTGGCAGTATGATATTGATAGGCGCGCCACATCACCACACGCGAATGTTTGTTCCCAGTCTAATGTTGTGGAGTGAAAACGCATTAAATAGCCGTTTGGAATCACGTAGAAAAGTGTTTAAAAACATATTTTATATAAATTGAGATAAATTTTTTTTTATATATTCATCTCGTATTTTATTCTAAATAAGTATTAAATAATACGAAGCTTTCGTTTACTGTTTCTGTGCATAGATTATAAATCTATGATTATTCACTCACAATATAAATGCTATTTTCGGTCTTTAAAATAAAAATTTGTTGACTAATTTGAGTAGATCAAAAAAATTAGTTAAAATAGTCATTGCTAATAAATAAGTGTATTATTTTTCCTAAAATATTATTACTAACTGTATTTGATAAAATTACTATTTAATAAAAATTTTAATATGTGTAAATAATTACCTTAGAAAAATAAATAAAAGAGACAAATGGATTAAAGTTTTATATTTAAGATCAAATTAAATATTAAACTAACTCTTATATTAATAATAGGATATAGTATTAATTAGCAATAAGGCTATGTGTAAGGGATGTTGGTGCCTAATTTTTGGACTCGCATTTGCTTCTCGCCTATTTATCTTTCGGCCAAAAGAAAAAACCTCTTCTGAATCAACTTCAACCAAATTTAGATGTTTAAACGAAGCAAATAGGCGAGAAGCAACCATACGTCCATACCCAGCAAGCAAATACCAAGTTTACAATCTCTCATATGTGAAGCCGGAAAAAAAATAATGATAGTGGGAAAATTGCAATTTGCAAGCAAGCTAGAAGAGATCAAATACGTGCATTTCAAGTGTTTAGATTAGTTTTTTGAAAAATAATTTTATGATATACAAAATAAGCATATAATAAAAAATTTATCTTAAAATTCCTTTTTTTTTTTTTCAAATTAATTGTAGAGGTTGCCAACCCCCGTGCTAAACGTGAATCATGGGCCTCCTAATGTCAAAAGAACTGGACTGTAATTGGGAGCATATATTAAGGCACAGTTTGAGTGACACTCCAAACCATGATTTGTGTGATAAGTCACCCAAACACCCACTCAATTTGCACAAACTGTGGTTTTGGGCCAAAACCATGGTTTTGGAAAAAGCAAAATTTTTTTGCTTTTGGAGAAAAAAAGGAGAGTGTAAGAGCTTATAGGATATGTATCTTGTTATTTTTTTTATAAACATATTTAATCTTATATTTTATAAATATATATACATATTATTTATTAATTAATTATATTATCTTATGTATTATTAATTATGTTAATAAAAATATATTATTAACAATTTTATTCCTTCAAATTAAAATATATTATAAAATCTATTTTCTCTGTAGTTATCATATTAACTTATGTCCTTTTTTAGTAATTTGTATATATAAAAAGTGCTTCTGATAACAACCATCCAAACATTCTCACTTCTCAAAATCACTTTTTCATAACATTTATTCTTTCCAGAATCTATTTTCCAGAGTCACTTTTTCAAACCACGGTTTGGTTTCATCTAAACACACCCGTCTCTTTCATTTTTCCTTTCCGCGCCCCAAAGCATTCATTTATTCGCTCACAATTGTTTTCCTTGATTGCATTTCTTCAGGCTTCATTTATTTCACATAAGGTCAATAAAAAACAATATATCAACATCATTATCCCGAAAGATGCTTTCATGAAAATGAAGTGTGATATCGTCATCTCATCGTCAAGGAACCGGCTGCAGTTGTTGGCCACCAAAAACCCGGGAAAAAAAAAAAAAAAAAGACATGAAGGAGCCCATCGTAGTTCATGCAGAAGGTGTTCAATGCGGTGCGAATTGCCTTTTTTTTTTTTGGGTGAACTAATTTCTTTATGTTCTTTACAAGAGAAAAATAATTCTTTGGTTCAATCGCCCGATTATGCTTTGATACAACTCAGCCCCTAAATTTTTAATTTGTCTAAAATTTAATTTCTCATTTTTTTCATATTCAGTAATTTGACATTTATCACGCATACAGTAGTAATTTACCTTAAGTCATTCGCTAACTATTCTTTCACATTTAATAATTTAATAATTTTATACTTCGCACCATTAAATATGGTAACGGTGCCTTCCAATTCAACATTAGGGGTGTTCACGGACGGATCGGGACCGGGACAGGCCCGTCCTGATTCCGTCCCGATAAACAGTAACGGGACAGATTTTCTGTCCCGTGTCCCAACCCGTCCCGGTCCCGGTCGGGACGGGACCGGGACGTCCCGAAATTATTTTTTTTTAATTTTTATAATTTTTTTAAAAAATTTTTTAAAAAAATCTGATTTTTTTAATTATATTGTTTTGAACTTAAATCTTATAAAAACATCTTTTTTATTTGTTTGGGCACTCTTAAACAAAAACTCAAAATATTACATATAATAGTCATTAAAAACTCTAAACAAAAGCTTTTAACACAATAAAAACTTGCTAAAAATTCTAATCATCAATAATCTCAAATCATTAACAAATATAAAAACTCTAAATAAATATATCCATAGTTCCATACAATAATCTCAAATCTTAAAAAAATATAAAAAAAATGATATTATATAAAAAAAAAGGAACCGGGACGGGACGACCCCGTCCCGTGTCCCGTCCCGTCCCGGTTTATTTCTTGTCCCGTCTCAAAAAATTTCAGGACAGATCCATCCCGTTCCAATAAAACCGGGACCGGAACGGGCCGGGTTTGAACACTCCTATTCAGCATATAATTTTTTTTCCCGACAACTGGAACTGGATTTTAGAGGCGAGGAGGGAACGAATAAAGAAGGAAGGCGGAGAAGAGAATGACGAACGCCAGATGCACCAAAACAATATTTTCTCAAAATTCCTAAGCAATTCTATGAAGATATCCCACTGCCTCCATTGAAACCATAAAAACTAAATCTTCTCTCTCCAATCGTGGCTGTGGTGGTGGTGGTCGAAAAGCTCTGATGCTGCTCATTTCTGAAAGCTGAGCCGCCTTGGAGACCTCCTCCTTCGTCTCGAATTTCTCAGGCAGAGGTCGTGAGATGGGCATCCGCATTTTGCTCTCTTCCAAGGAGAATGGAACTTGAGTTTTGGGGGGGGGGATCTCTTGCCGGTTTTTGAATTGAAATTTGTCATCTGGGTGATGCCTCCAGGTTGCCCCAGTGCTGGCGCAGCAACTCATTTAATTTTGGATCAAATAGGGGAAAAGGAGAGATTTCAGAATAAGGGGTTGAATATATTGCGGTACTGGGGAAGTGAAAGGATAGCGGGAGAGAAGGAGAGACTAGTGAAAGGTTTTCAGGTGATTATAAATTTATATTTTAAGACTCTACAATTTTTACTAACCCTCCCTTGAATTTTTCCAGAGTTAAGTAGAAGCTCGATCTTTTTACCATTTTCCCGGTATTCTTGCTTGGCATCCGTAACCCTAAAACCAGCCCCAATTGTCAGAATGGTGAGACGAACTCGATCCCGAACCAAAGGCGTTTCTGACTCGGAGCTTCGGTCTCAGGATTCTCAGTCTCCAACCACGACTGCTATTTCATTAAACCCTCCTCCTCCAACTTCTTCCAAACTTTCATTTCGGGCTCGAAAAATTCGAAGAGTCACATCCGATGCTGATGATAACAAACGCCCCCAGATTCCCGACGCAGAAGAATCCAGGACCTCACACTCGGAGGCCAATACTTTCATTACGGAGAAGGAAACCCCATCCGCATCGCCCTCCGTTTTACCCATGATCGTTAAGCCGTTGACGTTGAAAAGTGAAATCGATCTCGCTCTTCAGCATTTGCGCCTGTCTGATTCCCTCTTGGCGTCTTGTATCGACTCTTTTCGCCCTCCTGAGTTCCCTACTCATCGCCCGGCATTCCTGTCTCTCACAAAAAGCATTGTTTGCCAGCAACTTTCTAACCAGGCCGCCAAAACGATCCACACACGTTTCGTCTCACTCTGTGGAGGTGAGGCTTCAGTTCTGCCTGAGACAGTGCTTGGACTGACGGTACAGCAGCTTCGAGAAGTTGGAATCTCTGGACAGAAAGCGGGTTACATCCATGATCTGGCAAGCAAATACAGGGAAGGTTTACTATCAGATTCTTCAATACTTGAAATGGATGATGAGACCCTCTTTAATAAGCTTACTATGGTTAAGGGGATTGGGCCTTGGTCAGTGCACATGTTCATGATCTTCACACTTCACAGACCGGACGTTCTTCCTGTAGGGGATCTGGTTGTTAGAAGAGGCGTGGAGCGATTGTATGGCCTCAAAGCATTGCCAAAGCCTTCACAAATGGAGAAATTATGCGAGAAGTGGAAGCCATATAGGTCTGTTGGGGCTTGGTATATGTATAGGCTCATGGAAGCAAAAGGGGTTTTGCCGACATTGTCAGCAGTAGAAGTGGCGTCGACATTGGCGGGAAGTACCGTGACAGAGCAGCAACAGATCGAATAGCCTCACCAATGTTACCCTTTCAATGGAAATGCAAGCCTATAAATTGGAATTATGTGTCTTGCTAATCTTCAATTGCGTGGTAAATCTGTATTTGGTTTGCTATTCCATTATCATGCAAGTTTAATCTAGCATCCAGTGACCCCTCATTTTTGAAGTTCGATTGGACTTCTCAAATCTGCACACGCACACATCATTTTATATTTGGGTAATTGGGCGTGGTTATATTTATTCGAAACGAAACGTTTGTTTGGTGATATCGCGTCTCGTAGGCCTGTCTTAGTGGAAATGTAAAATCTGTGTGATTGATGAAAATGAAAGAAAAGGGGCTGCCGGATTCAACTCTTCTGTAAGATTTCTGCATTTTGGATGGATGGTCATCGTTATATAGGATTTGTTGTAAACGATAGAAGTCCTGTCTGAAGGAATGATTGTTATTATTTTCACTAGCTCATAAACACTGTCGATTTTTGATGGATAAGGTAGCTAACTGAAATCTCATACTTTCTGGGTGTGGATGCCTCTACTATGAATGGAAATGGGAGGGTGATAATCTTCCTAATTTCACTTGGTTGGCAAGATTAAAGGTAACTGAATAAAACTGCATAGGCGGATTGGCTCCCATACCAAATTAATCCCACTCTAATGAATCACTCGCTTGATGTGAGGAGAATTGCATGCACATCAAGCAAGAATGAATTGGAGGTGCTTAGGCTGTCGAAGTTAAACATTACTTGATGCTTGTGTCCTTGATCAACCACTAGGGAGATGCTGAATGCATTACGATATTTAAAGCTCGGACTTGTTTTAACCTTCTTAATGCCATTGTTACTAATGTTATGCTCTCTCCACTCATTACGATATTTAAAGCTCGCATTTGTATATCTTGGTTTCAAAAAAGCAGTGTTTGTTTGGATTAAAGTTGAAAAACGTGACTTGTATCGTAATTGATTTTTGTCAACGTGGATTCTCACAAGCTTATGTACTGCGCAAATATTTTTTTGAAAAAAAAAAAGTTACAATGTACAGCCTTAGATTCAATATATATTGATAGAAATTGATCATCCCATACCAATGTGGGTTGGTCCAAGTGATAAGCGATTTGGTATCGCTTAAGTGAGGTTCGAGTTCGAGGCTCAGCGTATGCAGAAATTTTCATTGGGAGACTCACCCACCACAACCAGGTGCGCGACGCGGGTCGAATCTATATGCAGTCGGAACAAAACTCCGGTGAAATATGTGGCCAACCAAAAAAAAAAATTGATCATCCCACAGCACGCTGCCAATAAAACGAGCGAACCTGAACTCGAACGTGATGACGTTATCATCCATATGTTAGCCAGACGTTACCTAAACACGAACCCGTTAAGAGACCCAAAAAACTACTGTACTGTAATTCCCCCCCCCCCCCCTCTTAAGGATGTAATTAATCAGTAACCCGTGCGGGTCAGTGAGGGTTTGTGGCCCAAGCAGACCATACATTCCCCCCCCCCCCGGGGGGTGGTTAACATAAAAAATCTCAGTGCCCCAAGTAATAAGGGCGAGTTGAGAATACTAGTGATATGAAGGGTCCAGATTCTGTGGGTATAGGAAATGCAATATCCCAAGTTACTTAGATTTTTCTCCTTTAAGGGGTAGATATTAATCCCCTGATGTCATAAGCAGAGTAGAATCGACTAGCTCTCTCTCACTCATTTAAAAAAAAAAAAAAAAAGCTATCATACCACACTATACGATAAGGCATTTGCAAAAGAAGCAGTTGGATATGTCGCTTTGTGATGAACTATTGTGAAGCTTAGAAGCATTAATCAGGAGGTGGACGCCAAAAGTACGGTTGATTGGACTTGTTGGGCCTCCATGTAGGCCCTTAATAGTCGGGTCACTTGGGCTTAACCTTGAGGCAACTAGTAATGGGGGGGCCAGTTGGATTTGGTGGTGTAGTTGACAGGAGTGTGGGCCAGGGGAAATTTAGGGTTAAGGCGCAAGAGTCCAGCAGGTGATCATAAAGTCCCACGACTATGAATTGAAAAGAGAGAACCCAGAATGAAAAGGGCGAAAAAAGAACCTCTGCAGTTACCAATGAAAAGACAAAAAGGGGTATCATATTCATAAGCATCATCCACTTTATAGCCTTCTAACCACGTGTTCTTAAACGTGATCTGCCCCCACTGTTCCACTATCCGACAATGCCAACCGCTACACGACAAATACACGTCACCGCGACCCCTTCCTCGTTAGCTCTTCAAAAGCAGATGTTTCATAGGAATATATATATATAATTATATATGCCTGTGCACAATTTTTTTCCCAATATATTTACTGGTAAATCTTCACTTACTCAACGCGCAACGAAACAATGATTTGGGGTGAACGCGGAACACGGCTTTTGGAATAAATGCTTTTAGTAAAGGGAACGGACCGACGGAGCACGGACATTTGGATAAGGTGCTTCAATTGATTCATTCATGAATCGGGAGAAAATTAAGGGGGGAAATTGGAAATACAAGGAATGGTTAAAACCAAAATCCGAACAATGTTAAGCTGGGAACATTGCATGTGATTAATTTCGGATCCGAGGAACAAATCATTCCAGAGACTGCTTTGTTTGGTCCAGTTTTGCGGAGTTTCGTCTTTGTTGGTTTTGTCGTCTAGGGACGATATCTCTAGAACCATATCCAGCTAAAATCATATTGTTGGTGGGACGAATCGCGCAGAGCCGAGATTGGACTAAGATTTGGAACAGCAACTCTGCGTTAAATTTCAATTATTCAGGGCACTTTCTTGATCTCGAATCTTACTTTCTAATTCCTGCGACCACTCTCTCCACTCCAAGATCGAGTGGATCCCAGAAAATGCCATCAAATTCCCAATCCCATGGATATTATACGTTTGAGAGAACCACCGAATACTCATATATTCTTCTAATATAACGCAGGCTCCATGAGAACATTTACCAAGTGGTAAGTGACAGAATCCAAAAAACAAAAATGCGCGAAATATTCCGCTTTCTGAGAACGAGGATATCGTGAAAATAACGATGCGATATCATGGTCGTAGCTATGTTTATCAACTATAAAAAGAGATGCACAGACAGCGAGTTATTAAATATTAATGACCAGATAAATTGTTTTGGGCAATTAAAACGTGATACTCTTTCGTTGAGTTTAATTTAAAATACGATGAACGTTAGATTTAGCGACTAGAAGCATTAGTTAATACAATAAAAATGGGCTCAGCAAGCCCAAATACAAAACCAGCAGGACCCAACTAGGGTTGCCCGGTACGCTGACTGAGCAAGAGGGCACCACCGTCCACTGCATTTGTAAGTCGTACGCACGTTATGAAGCAAATGGATACATAAAATGAAGAACCAAACAGAATTTTCATAAAAAGATATATTAGTTTAAAAGTCAAAAAAGGGCTTAGGGCTAGATTTGGGGACAGGGATGGAGAGGGAGAAGGGAGTCGCGTGCGAGAAGCGAGGGACACTGTTCCCTTGCCAAAGTTGTTTGTCTCGTATGCGGGGGGCCGTGGGGGCACGCCCAAACGCCCCCGGAATGCGGATCCCTTCTCCTCACTCTCCTTCCCTTATTGCGTCCTTTCACGCCCCCTCAATTAAAAAAAAAAAAGTCTCAAAACAAAATATTATAAAAAAAATTTCAATGATAAGTGATTGATCTAAACTTCTTGTTATTTCTTATTCTTAAACTTGTTATTATTTACTCTCTATTTGTCAATAAATTTTAAGATAATTATTTTTTTTTAAAGACCTTATCATAATTTTTCTACTTTCTACTATTATTTACAAAGAGGTATCATGCCACCGTACTAAATTATAAAGTCCAATTTAAACAATTTATAGATTTTTTTAGCACAATTTGAACTTTATCCCTTACAGTTTCAAGCAGAAAAAATAACTAATTTTCAGCCTGTTCGGTTGAGCGTTTATGCGACAAAAAGTAGCTTAAAAGCTTGATAAGTCATCAGTTTGTAAATTTGAGGGCTGTTTTTTTGGCCAATCTGACTTATGAGCTAAAAACATCTGAAACTTACTTATGACTTATACAAAAGTAACTCTTTGAAATTAAAAGATATCTTTGTCCTTATATTTATATTCTTATGCTTTTATCTTCATACTTCTTGTACTTCCCAATAAGTTTTTAGTTATTTATTTTTAATACTCTCTTAAGTGAAAATAATTTTTAACATAACTTTTATAATATTTTTAATTTTTAATATTATTTTTTATTTTTTATTTACACAAATTGTGCAGAGTATATCATCTAATTAATTATGTAATATTATTTGGTTCAAAATTTCACATTACTATATTTTCTAATTTAAATATATTTTTATTCATTTAATTTAACTTCTTCCAACTATAATTTTAAATTATTATTATATTTTCTAAATTCATATTTTTAATCATTTTTTATTATTTAATAAATGTCATACCCATTTTGATCATTTTACTGACTACACTTACTTATGCAACCATAACCCAGATAGTTTTTTATTTTACAAACTAATTTTTATAAAAATCAATCCAAACATAAATCGCATTATTCAATTTAATTTTTACCTAATCTTACTTTTTCAAGAGTTAGATTAAAAATAAATTACTTTTTCTACTGTTAATCCAAACGGACAATTTGTCTTCTATATATATCGTATGTTGTTGTCAGTGAGTTTATGACTTGTAGTCATCCAGTCCTTAATGTAAAACCTACTTAACTAATTTAATTAGGTTAAGAAAGTTAAGTGATTTAGTTAATTATAAAAAATATGATATATCTTTTCTAAAATATAATCTCATCTTTCTTAATATATTTTTTCTCTTTCCTACTTGATTATAAGTGATTTAAGAAAAATAATAAATATAAAAATAGATCTTATATTTAGAACTAATATTAATTCAACAACTGAGTTTTATATTAAGAAACAAAGGAGGGTTATAAATGTTTCTCTCTAGGTGAAAAATGAAAAATCATGGTTTAATTTACTTGTAACGTCAGATTGTTATTTGTTAATGTCTGTCTTTCTAATAAATATATATATACATTTATAACTTTATTTGTCTTCACTTCAAAACTTTTTGCGTCGGGCGCATGATATATTTATTCCCCCAGAAGATGCATATCCATATTTGAACAAATGCTTGTCATTAAGTCTCAGTTATCTCTTCTTTTTCGTCTTTTTAATTTTTGGCTAGCAATTGGAAGGCCGATTCTCCTCATGATCTTGAAATCTACTTAGATTGATGCTCTCATATCCAAAGCTGATATAGCTTCAATTATTTGGATTCTTCTCCGCCCACATAACGACGAACAAAAAAATCTTTTCCAGCTTCGCGTCTCCCCCCCCCCCCCAAAAAAAAAAAAACAATACTTCTAATCAATGCGTTTCAAAATGGTTCTAATGAAAACAAAAAAACTCGACCTCAGAAATTCCGTCCGGAATCTAGATTTACCTGCCTGAATTTTAAATTATTTTTCATGATTGATGCTCGTGAGCAAGAACATCATAGAAGACGAGAAGATCCACACACCCTCCTTTTTAAAATATTTCACTTTAGATTTGGTCCTGTTTCAAAATGAATGTCATTCTAGAATTTTAACAACAAAGCATTAGTTAATTTTTAATCATTTTATCATGCATGAAAAAAATGATAGGCCACTAGGAGAAGCTATGAATTATAGATGACTTGCTTTAAATTTTTATGATAATACAATTTTTGGTCATTCAAGTTTATTTTTATTTTGATTTTAGTCTTTTAAATTTTAAATCATATTTTTTAGTTTCTCAAGTTTTGTTTTTATTTAAAATATTGATCATTATAGCTCAATAAAAATCTGAACCATTTTATCGGGACCATAATCTATAATTTAAAACTTAAAGTACTAAAATTAAAATAAGAACAAATTTGAAAAATCAAATATCATATTAACCCTAATTTTTTTGACAATTTAAAATATTTAGTAGTTTTTTTTATGTGTGTGTACAATTTCAAAAAAGAAAAGAAAAAATTCAGGTGAGGAACAAGATTTGAAGGCTCATTGAAAATTGAAATCGAACATGACTCCCGAGTCAATAGATATACTTATTGATTACTCATGACAATGACATTTTGATATTGGGAGCGAAATTCCAGCTCGTGATAGATACTATTTAAAACGCTGCCGTTAAGTGACGTGGCACTCTTATTAAAGGGAGAATTACAATGAGGTCTCAAGTAATTAAAAAACAAGTCCCAGATGTTGTCATTCTCACTATAGGACTTGTTACTGCAGGTTACTCAGGTTGTTACTTGGGACTTTGTAGTGATTACTTCTCTTGTGTGGGACTTGAATGTAATTCTCCCCTTATTAAAGAGGTTCCCTCTCAGCTCAGCTCTGACGTTTTTTTTTTTTTTTTGGCCAGAAGCTCAGCTCTGACGTTGAAGCATATCATTTTGCAATTAACAAAAGAACCGCAAGTAGAGGAAAGCAATACCGATTCGGAGACTCTTGGCTGGTCATCTGCCGCGTATCAGACTTTACATTCTTAATCACTCCCAATTGCTAATTAATTATTTCCCCAAACGGGGGCTGTCGTACTCGTATTAAATTAATGCTCGGAAATTGTTGCTGTTAATCACCAAACGAAAAGGCCTAGGCATCACACATCAAATCATATTTTAAGTATTGCATGTTTCTAAGGAACTCACGATATATCCTCTTTCTTGTTTACCACATTTTCTGTTAGTTCCCAGATATGACAATCTCAAAAAACAAAAAATATTGAAGAAACAAGAGGAACTCAAATGCAGATTTTTGTTTCCTAATCTGTCAGGGTTTTAGCGAAACAATTGTGTCAGTAACCTGGGGAAAGAAAATGATCATCAAAGCAGACGAGATAAATGGCACAGAGGCATGCACAGTCTGCAATATTCGATGCCTTTTATTTTCTGCTTTCCATGCCAAATTCAATGCTCAATACAATCATATCATGCTTATCTTAAAACTTCCAGCTATAAAGAAATAGTACTTCCATATTATAAAATTTTGTTTGTATAATTAGAACCAGAAATAGTATAACAGAGGTAATGGATTAAATGAAGTTTCGTACGCAAATCGGGGTGAGCTCATTCACTTCTACTTTTAAGTACTTCTCGGAACATTACCTCAAGATCACGAATGGAATTTTACGTGTTATGTATTGTTTAAAAACCTGTATTAAAATTATTCAGCTGATAAAAAGTAAAGGTCAAATACAGTCTCTACCCATGGAATACATAACCTATGGATGAAGAACGGGGCAAGAAGAAGCGTTGGCGGGTACATGAATCACGTTTGAGCCCCAAAGGTCAAGGTTTGGTGGTTCAGGGTGGAGACAAGGAAAGAGTCAATTTGAACAGTAGTCTAGTTGTGCCTTATGGATATGATTTCCCCTCTTTTTTGGATGTCTTTTGAATAGTGGCCAACGTGAGACGGTACCACAGGGCAATGAAAAGATGGACGCGTGAAGCAGAAAAATAGAAGATGCCTCTCAATGTCAATTACAAAGAGAAGTTAGTGAGCAAAAGAAGTGGGTTGCAGCAGGTATTGCAGCAGCAGGCGCACAAAAGAGAAAATCTGACACACACACTAACACCAACAAGACAAGTTGCTGAGAAGTGGCCCAGCAAGCATTCACTCACTTTAATAATCTCTCACGTTCACTCCCCCCCTTATAAAGAAAGAAAAAGGGTCATTTCCCTCATATTCCTTATTTTCTCCTGCTCACTCTTATCTTAATAAAACTAATCAAACCTCTCTTTTAAGTAGGGTTTTCAGTCTGATTTGCATATATCCGAAGCGGCTTAATCTTGACGATCTTCAAGCCAAGGGAGGCATCCATCTGCCTGCACACACACTTTCTACTTTACATGCATCTTCCTATTTCAGGGAAAAAAAACCATTGATTCTAAGGAAGTTTGGCTAGGGTTTGATGAAGTGAGTGGTTCAGAAGGGCAATAATTAAGAACTGAACTAGATTGGAGATGACAAACATGACCTTTGTCGGTTCTGCAAGACCTACTCCTCCAGCGTAGTCATCACTAATTCTGAGTGCAAACCAACCTACTAGTCTTTATGGAGTCTGATGGGTGGTAGGAAACAACCTTTCTCTCGGCCCTTTTAGCTTCTCACCTTGTATTGTCATCTTTTTTGGCTTTGCATATCCTTCTTTTCTGATCACTTAAGATTGATATCTATCTTAGATCTCTTTCTTAATCAAAGCTTGGAAGGTAGAAAGCCTTTTTCAGGTGTTCTTTGTTTCTATCCTTCCCTCTCACGGTCTTGCTGGTGCAAGCAATATTCCTAGGCTTCAAATCTACAGTAATATCTAGCTTTGCCGGTGAGTCTTGCATAGATTCTCAAAGGGAAGGGACCCAGTTGGCAGCTTCATCTCAATAAATTCTCACCAATTTTTGCCCTTCTCTCTCTTCTTTTGTTTCTGAATTTACTTATTATCATTTTTTTAAAATATCAAAACATTTAATTTCCAGCACCACCATAGGTACAGCTTAATCACTAAAACACGGCTCCTTGAGAACAGGTTTGATTAGAGAAAATTTATAGCACTTGGAATGTCAATAGCGGAATAAGGAAAGGAAAGAATATATTTAGGTGCGCCTGCAATAATATTCTCGACTAAGACCGGTTTTCCATCAGATTAGGATGAGTTGGGGGTTGATCGGGCTGCACAGGAAGACCCACAGCACTATATATAATTAAAGCAAAATCACTCAGGAAATGAGCATGCTTTAAGATAATATCATACCAAATCATATATAATTTAGATCTAGGCCTTCATTAGAAGTCAGATTTGATGGAACTGATGAGAGGTTTAGATAAGGAAATAGAGATGCCATTACCAACCTCTTCAGGCTATAATCCCTCCAATAGGGACTCGTCTTCTTCTCCAACTCTAGCTTCAACAGTAGGCGAAACGAGTAGTGATCAACCTCCTCAAACTTCAGACCACTATCATCTTAATCATCCTCCTCCTTCTCTGCCATCGAACCCACTTCAGCAATTGCAGAGAAACACGAGAGATCCAGATCCGCCAAGCGTAACAGCGATCACAACAATTGCTAGCAGATCAAACCCAGGACCAGCAACAGCGAGGACGATTAGGTACAGAGAATGCTTGAAGAATCATGCGGCGAGCATGGGAGGACACGTAGTGGATGGATGCGGCGAGTTCATGCCAAGTGGAGAAGAAGGCACTCCACAATCCTTGAGATGTGCCGCTTGTGACTGCCACCGCAATTTCCACCGGAAAGAGACCGAAGGTGAACCTCAAACTAATGTTCTCAATTACTACGCCTACCCTCCCAGCAAAAGCAATAACGCACAGAGTAGGATTCTTTCTCCGCAGTTTCCGCCACCCCCTCCTCTTCATCATCATCATCACCATCAACATATGAGATTTTCAGGTGGGTCGTTCCCGCCGTTGATGATGGCCTTCGGCGGAGGCGGCGGGGCGGCGGAGTCTTCAAGCGAAGATCTGAACATGTTTCAGTGTAATGATGTGGGAGGGCAAGGGTCATCAAAGAAGAGGTTTAGGACTAAGTTTAGCCAGGAGCAGAAGGACAGGATGATGGAGTTCGCCGAGAAGTTGGGATGGAGGATCCAGAAACACGACGAACAAGAAGTACAACAGTTTTGTAATCAAGCGGGTGTGAAACGGCAGGTTTTCAAGGTTTGGATGCACAATAACAAACAGGCCATGAAGAAGAAGCAAATGTAAGCAATCTTAGGCTAGGCTTCACCTTCATCTCCTTTCATTTGGTACTTGTTTTTTTAACCTGTTTTGAGAAAGAAACCATATTTTATAACCAGTGAATAAGTAGATTAAATGTGCAAACTCAAGTAGAGATGTTGAAAAAACCACTGATAACTATTCGATTTTTCTGACTACTCCATCTCTCTATGTTATTTGCAGCATATAATCCTCTTTATTCAGCCTGCGACCTTCTGTTTTGTGTTATGTGGATATCTATCTTGTCTGAGAAGAAACTAGAATCTGGACTCTAGAAGGAGAAACCTAAAGAATCAACAAGAAATTAAGATGATAACTTAGGGTCGTACGTAAGGATTGATGTAAAGCCATAACTCAAGCTAGCGATTCTTGGTTAGCAGTGATATTTAATTTCATGTATAATAATGGCTTAAATTAAGAGCTTTCTTCCAATCAAACCAACCCCTCAAATCATGGAAGCCTCGGTCTGTGGAACCTCTTCATCCATTTTATTGCCAACAGGAGTAACAAAGGCTGTCCCGGAACAAAATAGGATTCCACCCAACCACACAATCTCTGTCCTCTCTTCTCTCCTCTCTTGTTGGACACCGACACATGAATTTGCAGACAATATTAATTATACTCGCTCTTTTCTCACCCGTGTCTTTTTCAGCTATCGACTGTTTTTTGTCTCCGCTCTACCCCAGCGAGCCAGGCAGATAAATAGCCCCCCCAAAAATGAAGAGGGAGGGATAAGAGTTTTTCTCGCTTTAGATGTTTTTCATTCCCTGCCCACGAAATACCCATGAAATGGTACATGGTGGATGAGTCAAATACTTTCTGAACCATGTGGCATGTATGAAACTGGAGAAAGAGCATAGATTTTCTTCGACCCAAGGGAAAGTCGAAAAGGTATAATCAATGATTGGGGTAGACGCAAAAGATTTTTATGAGCCAATGCACTTTTCTGAGACTCGAAGAAATACGCATTACTATTTTTGAGTTAACGGTGATGGATGACTGCTTGGAATATCGCAGTATTATGTGTATGAAATGTTTCTAAATAAATTAGTAATGGGGTTACACGAAAAATGAGCCTCACTAGATTTGACCACCCACGTACTAATGCCCGTACCACTCGTTTCACACAAACTAATATAACCCTGCCTTGCGACATGTAGGAAGCACAAAACACCAATTTGTACTACATTTCGGACGCGAGCATCTGTACATCCCCAAAAAACAAATCTAAGTATCTAAAAAGCTTTTTTTTTTAGCCGATTTTACGGAAGATGATCATCCAAAACCAAACGTATGGCGGGGTCTCGTATTCCTTTTGATGGGTCAGTCGTAGAAGGCTTGTGCACCGGATTGCCCTAACTTGGAGAAGCGCTGGCTTCACACAATCAAAATTACTTAACACCCATAGTTCCCGCTTGGTATGAAGCAAGATAAAAAATTAAGATTAGGATTATAATTAAAAAAATCTTTAACATGAGTAATTATTTGTTGTATGGGATTAGACAAACCCATAAAAGTAAGATTGGGGAATACCATCCACTTCCTCTCATGATATTCCTTAATCTCATGTAATAGCAATCTCTCATACTAAATGCTATTTTCTCAATCTAATTCTAATCCTTATTCCTTGTTTTCAATACTTTACACTAAACGGTACCCATTAAAGTAACGTGTATGTAATGCCTCTGATGTCAAGGTAAATCACATATTAACAGTTTCATGCCACCTAAATTTAAGCTGAGCAGTGGTGGAAGCTCGAGGCATGCGAAAATCAAGATTGTTGATCATCATATACAAGCAAGATAAATGGTTCCCACTCTCACTGCTTGAAAGCACTTCTTGAGCCAAACAGAATCACAAGAATTATTCACTAACAAATATCGATTTTAAAAGGACAAGCAACATTGAAAGGATAATAGTCAGGTCATTGCAAGACGAAATTAAAGGATAAGCAACAAATTGAGGCAAGAAATTGGTTGATAAAGGTATAGCGTTTTAACTCCAGCCAAATCTTTAGATGGAAAGCCAAGACAAAATTGCATAATTATCCATCATGAAATATTGATATTCAAATCTTGGTGTTATGATCACCTATCTGGCAGATGACTGGTTTTGATTAATTTCCAATATACCGCACATTCTCATTGTTGCCCGAAGTTTGGGAAGACACACGCACACAAAAAGCAACTTAATGCACTATTTGCGCACAAAAATCTTCTCCCATTTCCCACACGTACGGAAACAATTGGTCAGGTTGTATATCTTTTTTAATATAAAAGCTAATTTGATTTTTAATTTGGCCCTAAATATAAAACTACAATCCACTTTGTCTTTCATATTTATTTATTTTTTTCAAGTTAGTCCTTGTAATAGTTACACATATTAAAAATTTCATCAAATAATACTTGATTAGCAAGGATATTATTAAAAAAATAATACTTATTTATTATAAATAATTAACTTAACTAATTTTTTTAATCTATTTAGATTAGTTAATTATTTTTTATATTAAAAAGAAAAGGTAGTATTGTAATATACTCTTGGTGCAACTTTGACCCTTATCAGTAGTGTGACTTGCAGCTACTGTAATATTTTTTTGACTATCACCACTTGGTGCATATTTCGGGAAAAAAGTTGATATTATGTCTTGTAAAAGTTGGTTTATATCCCGAGCTATGCGTGAAAAATTCATGGCTTGCCTATGGTATGGACCACCAAATAAAGAAGACCTCTAATCAAAATGCAGATGAAAAGATACCACATTAATTAATAAAAGAGAGGAGGTCACCTTTAACAATCTATCCAGCTTTCAATTTAATCATTCACTTGTAGTTCCGTACAGGGATAACAATTTTGAAATCAACCAGGTTAAAGTAGGGACCCCACGACTTATATTAAGGAAAAAATAATACACTATTTTGATCACAGAGAAGATACAAGGTTATGATGGGCTGCGAAGTCCCCTAACTATTATATAAAACTATATATATTTAGCATTAGTAGTTCGAGAAAACCCTAAGTTACGTTATCCTCCTTTGCTAAGGGGAAAATATCTATTAAGTGATTGGCATAGCATCGCATAACGTAGGAGAGCTTGGGGGGGCAAAAAAAAAAAAAACTCAAGAAAAAGGTAAAACTAGCCATACCCTCATGTTAGTTCGCTGCTGCTCATCCTCATGTTGGCTCCAAGATCACCAGTGGCCTGTGAAGCCTTCTCCTTGGCATCTTCGTAATTAACCTTATTCTCTTCAGTCATGGTGTCCTTTGCTGACCTGTAAGCCTCCTCCACTCTATGCCTAGCTTGCTCATAGGTTTCCTCAGCCGCTTGGTCTCTTCCTTCATATCCCACTGAATCTGCCAAGATATCTTTGGCATTGGTTGAAGCCTTATCTGTCGCCATTCTGATAATCTCATCAACTTCATTATAGGCCTCAGCAGTTTTGTCATACGCCATAGTTCTTGACAATTTTTCCTTGGCTTCACCGTACTTTTGAGAAAAACACTCGGAAGTTCCTGAACAAAGAAACCACACACATATTGGAAAATTTGCTGAGTTAAGATGTCTCTGTCAAATAGAGAATTATTAGGTGGTTAAAATACAACACACAGAGGGCAAAAATATACCAGATGCCGCAGATTTCATCGTTTCAGTGGCCCTTGAGGCAGCGTCTCCAGCTTTATTCTTCATGCCCTGAGCTGCCTGTCTTGCGTTGTCCTTGTTTCTGAAAGAAGGATTGTAAATCAATTACCAAACAAAGAACGCTAAGGTTTGGTCCATAGGCCGTCAATGCTAATAATGCAAATTATATTATAATTATAATTAAATTTATGCTAATCCACGATAAAATTTATTAAAAATTCCAACAATAAAAACAACCAACTTAACTAGGAGGAAGTTCATATGACAATTACTTGTCAAGCGCGATAAAGAATTAGCAGCAGCAGCATTCACTCTAGATACCTAACGTGCCCCTGTTGAGAATTAATTATCAATACCCTGATCCAACGCTATGACCGAGGACTACCCACCTATTTTCCCAACTATCTATAGCAAGGAATTGCAAAGAATGCATGCTTGCATATGTGACTATTAACACAACATCACTCTTTGCCTACTCCCCAATCCCTTCTTTTCGTGTTTGAATTTTAGGAGGAAATCCTCAGCTAGTAACTATAGGATTGATTATTTCTATAGCATCCATCATGCTCCTTGAATAGAAAAGGTATGAATTGCCACGCTATTGAATAGAATAATTCATTGTTGATGCATGGAACAAGGTTCCGTGCCATCCGTAGGAACACGGGAAAGCTTGAGAACATGAAACGCTTAGCACGGAGAGGTAACCATGGGAACAGGTACGGGCGCTTGAGGAAGAAACAAATTGCAGACTGAAATTGGAGAACGGGGATCGTTATTGGAAGGAAAAGGAGGGAGGACATTACTGGAGGAATTGGTCATAAGTCCAATCAGCCATAGATTCAGCCTTTTCCTGAGCATATTCCGTGGTTTCTGTGCAACCGTGCTGGATCTCCTGAGCCGTCGTCTGGGCAATGTCGGCAGCAGACTCCCCCCAGCAGCTGCACAACCCAACGCACACGGCGAGCCACAGCACCAGCAGGAAGAACACCTGTGGGATTGCCATCGATCTTCCTCGGTTTGTTCGTCGGAAAGAAGAAGCGGTCAATTCTCCATTGAGAGTGCGGCGGAGAGGAACGGTATGGTGTTGTTAAGAAGTCCGGAGAAACCAGAGGGAGAGGCCACGCGGCGTTCGGGGAAAACGTGGCGAATTATGGAGGGGCATGGAACGGGACTGACGCCACGTGTCCAACAGACGGGTTGTACGGCCGCATGGCCCGCACGACGACCAATCCATAGCTTTAACGGGTATTCCATCGCCGCTTAATGTGGTCCGGACGTCCAATAATTTTCCCACTGCAGTGTTTTAGCCTTTTCCTGTTTATTTTGCATGTTTTCCCTTTCCTCCTCTTGTCCTTTTCTCGCCATCGGCTCTAGACCTCTAGTATTTCTTTCAACCACAACAAATTATTTATGACTACAAATTTCACTTCGATTTCAAACTTCATTATTTAAACCTTAACTCACATATGGAAGGAATATGCGGATGACATGAATGATGAATTTGTGAAAAAAATTGTTACTCTGTTGTTTAATATAAGATTTATTTAATTAATTTGATTAGATTAAAAAATTAAATAGGTTACTTAATTATAAAAAAATATGACATGTTTTTCTTAAAATACCATAATCATCTTCCTCAATATTCAATCATCTTTATTAATATTCTCCTTCTCTTTCCTACTTGATTATGGTTGAGGGAGAATTAATAACGATAATTTAAAAAAAATTGATAAACATGATAAACAGGTCTTACATATAGAACTAAAATTAACTCAATAATTATATCATATATTAAATACCATTGCCCTATATTTTTAATGGAATCTTGAGGAAATCAAACATGACGTAATATGCTAATATGACATGAAAAGGGAATTAACCTTAGCCTGTCACTTTTAGGTATTGTTTGATGTTTTGAAAATGGAGGTGAGTGGAAGAAAAATTTTAATGAGTTTTATTTAAAAAATTAAAGAA